TTGGTATTCGTTCGTCGGAAGAGGAATTTACTTTTCAATTGCCTTCTTCTCCAACTTAATGAATATATACATGAATAAAATTCCAGGCCAATGTAACTGAAAAATATAATATGTCACATAATGAATGAATGTTATAAATCACGTTTGTTGAGCAATGTCGCCGCAATGGTACACCCAGAGCAATTCAGAGCAATAAATTAAAAGCCCGTCAGCGGGCTAGGAAGACGTTGACATGTTAAAACCAAGAACCCCAAACAGCACAAACCAACCATTCTGGATTAACGTCTATTGGCGTCAGTATGATTTTTGAGGTGTTCTTTTGACACTATTGAACAAACATGTGAATGTGACTGCAAAATCGATTAAAGCCATTTACCCAATTAAGCAACGGAGACAAGTGTACATATTGCAGTTTCCAAAGCTTTGCTTTGCTTTGCCTTAGCAGTATATAAGCAAATCCAGACAGGCTATTTGTGAACCTGTTGATAGCTGGCCAATTCACGACATTTTGAGTACTCACGTTGCATTCATCCTTAAGCTGTGATGATTTTCGGTGTGTTTACTGTTGCCTAGACCATTACGTAGAAATACCACGAATTAAGCTATCAATCTATATAATTGCTTTATTACTAAGTAAGTGTGTACATTCATGTGTTGAAGTTTATGCCTTTGGCCAATTGACCACAAATTTGGTTTTGATTGAAATTTTAATCGACGATGGCGTCAGGCAGTTCTGAATTGCACAGCATTCAGTATGGTTCAAAAGCGGTTTGTACACGTATGTATATAGACAATTACTTATGGCTTGTCTTCAAGGAGTTTAGCGTTCATGCGTTTGTCACATGGATTTAACTCTTTTAGTTGCTATCTGCTATCCGAGAACAACCGGAACTACATAGTTTTGCTAAAGTTTTGGAAAATTTTCATAAAAACCAAACGAAAAACATTATTCACATAATTCAAAAAACAGTACATTAAGGTTGCATTAGAGAGCAAAGCAATTACACTAGCGTTTACCTACCTAATTCTCTCGTATTCAAATTAGATCATTTATAACGTATAACAAATATATTTTGGAATGGAGTTCTCTCACAATGCGGACAGTAAAGCGACTGAAGGCACGGGACGATATATGAATAGGCGCTGGCACTTCTTGTCAGATATATCGGACTGCAGCACAAAAAGGGTGAATAAGCTATATTCATTTTTTAGGCCAATAGGTTACTAATACAAATCCTGCGAAAACTATGTAAAAATGTTAAGGGTTTTTTGAAATAATTCAGTTCTTCGAATGCGTTTTAACAGTGTGTTTTACGCGAGGACATGAATGAATGAAAAAGTTAAATTTATTAAACCTTTTCCACAATTTGACTCGGTCATTAGTAATGCAGCCCAATGGGAGACATAAGTAGATACAGTACTACTGCATACTTATACATTGTTGATTCTTCTCTTTTCTCATCCACCATGACATTATAAAAAATGGAATAAATAAATAAATACTACTATTTATGCCTAAGCCACTTATCGCCGTGGCTTGACCCTCATAACTCAGATGAAAATGAATTGTTGCTTTAAGGCTGAGTGAATGTTGACACATTTGCCTACATTTTGACATTGGTTAATCGAAACACTTAAAATATATGAATTCAAATGCAGACCATTCGAAAAGTTATCATTTGTCACACAAACTAAGGCAGGCTAACAGCAGACAGACTAAATCGCAGTCACAGGCGCACCACAAATAGATTTGAATGCAATTCGTACGCGTTTAACGAGAACCGAAGAGGGCGGACGATTTGTAAAATGCTGTAAAAATATGTAAAAGCTGTCAAAAGTGACACAACCCCAACCGACACCGAAAACTATTAGCCGATTCAATTATACCAAACATTTCTGACATTTATTTTCATTTGTATGCTTGTACCGAGGTATGAAGTTTTCCATATTTGTGTGTGTGTGTGTGTGTGTGTGTGTGTGTGCCTGTGTGTATTACTTGCTAAACTCTATTGCCTGCTGCTGCAACGATAAATTGGTGCTAATAAAAAAGTGTCATTTTTTATGATCAACAAGCGTGATAAGTGATTTTTTCGTGGCAACAGCCGCAGGGAAACAGTGCAAAACTACGAAAAAATTAATGCATTTGAATTAATAATTTCAAAGAAGTGCAGAAAAAAATATATATTGAAATAGTAAAACTAAAAGAACTTATAAGTGCAAACAGTTTTGTGGTATGTGACTGAGTACAAGTTTTTTAGCTACTGCAGCCCACAGCTGTCAACACACCTACCAACTGACAGTTGGCTAAAAGTAATTAACATAAAAAAGACGTGCCGGTAATCGAGCTCAGCTCTTCACAAAAACATTTGTATATTCCCAAAGTAAGCAAATTAAATCATCTACAATACTATTTTCAACATAAAATTGCGTAATTCTCTATATTAATGATGATCGAGCTGCTGAATATATATACAGTATGCATATAATGCATAATTGGCGCTTTATAGCCGCTTATCCACTTTGTGCAAAGATCTACAGCTTTTTTCCAAGCCGCCTCCGAGCGGTTGCTTAGTATTTATAAAAAAAAAAATAAATAAATTAAAAAATATGCGTTGTATGCCTTGGGGAGCAGGAAAATCTTATCTTTTCATCAATTTCATGGTAAAATGTTGTATTTATATTTCGAAATTAGTCAATACAGGACCTGATACACAAACAACTTATTTTATTTACGAAATGTGTTCGTTTGATTTAAAACAATTCCACCCACAAGCTGATCAATCCAAAAAGAAATAATCCAAATATTTCACTGCTGTATGCTTCGTGAGCTCGGTTGAATCGACTGGGACAAATTTCTCCAATTATCTTTAATTATCATTCCACGTTAAAATATATATTGATTTAACGAACTACGAAATACTTCCGAATGTACGAGTTAATATTTCATCGTCATCACTAGCCGATAACAGAACAATATATAAGATTTACGTTAAAATTTAATGGAGCACCCTAACGTACATATTGCATATCAGTAAAAGCTGAATTGCGTTGACCAAAGATGAATAAATAGCAGTTCACACCCACAGATGCGAGTGCATGTGTGCCTTTGAATAGCGTAAATACCAAATCGCAAAATCACATTCATCGGTGATTTTTTCTTTCTGACTTACTTCTACGCACAAACACACTCGTACTCGTATATTCAATGCTCTTTATGCCAATGGCGGTGGCGTGAGCTGCGGCACGTGCAGTCTATTTGTCGCTCTTACATCACACGCGCTGTGCTCTAATCTTTATTAACGAATTTGCTATCTGACAGTTGGCAGGTGGTCATAAGCAACACTAACAATAACCAAAATACTCACGCTGCACGAACTAATTATGTCCCTCGAGGTTCGTTTCGCTGACTGAATGATCTGCCAATTACACTTTTATTCAAGTTAATTCTGCAATTTCTTTTTCGATGTGACCGTTTTTGTTATGAATTTATGATTTTGCTCGTCACATTGTTGCGTCCGTTGCACATCAAAAAAAAATTTTAGATGGTGGCATAAATGAGCCTTGAGTCATTGAGAAGGAAAAAGTAAAAATAATTATTATTGGAATTCCTTAAAATTCTTTTGTGATTTCCTTGAACAATCAAATTTCTGTCTTTAAATTCATCTTTCTTGTAAAATATTTGTTAAATTTGCACTAAATATTTATTTTTTAGTAAATATTTCCATTATTTGAATTCAATTAGTTTTCTAACATACACACATGTCATTTGTACATATATGTAAATACACATACACATATACATGTCTGGAATTTGCGCTCCCTATGCGGCAATTAACCACCGCAACAGTAGTGAGTATTTATCGATATCAGGTCAGCAGGTTGTGTACGCGCTCATGCCAGCAGACATTTAAATTAACACCATAAATTTTCCAATCTTGCGACTTTAATTGCTGCAATTAACGCACGCAATGTTGACGGCAAATTAATTGAGATTTTAATGGCAAGCGACAAATGATTGCATAAACACAATTTTCCATTATAAGTATGTATTATATTTATATATATATATATATATATATATATATAGTATGTAGACACTTAAACATATTTGTTTACTAATTTTTTGATATCATTTTTGTAATCAAAGTGTCTCTTAAAAATTATTGCAGCAATTATTCTTTGAACATGTTTGTTGTGAAAATACGTTATGTAATCTTACCATGAACAAAAGGTATATAGGATTATCCATTTTGCAATTTCGAAAACAAACATAAACTGAAAGCATTTGAAATAGTTTTTATCAAGACATTAATTTCTTACTATAAAGCTAGTGTCTTGGCATTGAAACACTAGATCATTCAAATGCTTTGCAAACTTCGATTTTTTTGAGATAATTTTCGACTACCTTTTGACAGATACTGGGCGGTTTAGCAGCCATAACTGGACGATTGTTGGTTTTCAAGTGCTCAGGAGTTCGCGTACAAAAAAGTTCAATTGTGTCAAATCGCACTATCTCGATGACAAAGGCTTAATAGTATCTATAACCGATCCAATATCTATAATCCCTACGACGATCCAATATCTATAATCCCTACGCCACGTTCGAATAACCATTTTTGTGTTGGGTTTTAACATATTTGACTCCTTGTGCGATTGTTGAGCGATCCATTTTCAGAAATTCCCTTCTTTCAGCTAAAACAAAACATGTTTGATTTGACAGATGTTAAAATACAGTCCTGTTCTTTGGAAACAACAAAATGGATAGGACTATATATGAAAGGCGCGATTAGACGGTTAAATGAGAGAGACGATTAAAAATGAGATTTTGACTACATTAAGATAATGTCGACTAAGAAAATAAACGAAGCATGCATTCTTACGCCACTCAGCCTCACACGAATGCAATTATTTCTCTAGGTGATAGATAAGTTAGTCCTTAAGCAAAGCTTTCGCATTCCTAACAAATTAGAAATTTAAAATTTTCTGTTTTTTCTTTTCAGTTCACAGTACACCCTCTTGCACTTTTCGTCACACAGCGAATATACAAATAGTCTAATTGAAATCTTCCGAAACTAGCAACAATTACCCAACTGCTTGAATTAAAAAAATTGCAACAGAAAAGCCCGAGGCACCCACGCTAACACATAGCCCAAAGAAGAAAAAAAAAGAACAAAAAAAATGACGTCAAATACCGCTTTGTTGACCGCCGCACACGCGATGCTCTCCTCCGACCTGCTGCCCAACGTGAATCTCTCCAATTGGGAAAAACTGGTAACCGACGATGAGTTTCGCGATTTTATGAAACTTATGGAAAAGTACAATAATCCCAATCATTCACAAGAAGCGACTCTACATAAATGCCACGACTATTGTACGGGTGAACTGTATCAGATGTTACGCACCTATAACGGTGTGCATGGATATGTGGCGTTATTGGTAAGTATTGGCGGTATTCGAACACACACACTTGTATACGTAACGTTTCTTTTTTATTATATTTATGTCCACAAATATCAAATTCAATGACTGCACCTACATCACGAGCTTTCCAAGTACAAGCCAGGTCCCTCTCTACTAGGTCTTTCCAACGGAGTAGAGGTCTTCCTCTTCCTCTGCTTCCACCGGCAGCTACTGCATCGACAACTTTCAGAGTTGGAGTATTTTTATCCATACGGACCACATGATCTAGCCAGCATAGCCGCTGCTTCTTGATTCGTTGAACTATGTCAATGTCGCAGTATATCTTCAGGTTATTGAGGCCAATAATATCAATATTATCGGCATACGCCAGCAGCTGTACCACTCTTATGGAAGTTTGTACCTCTTATGGAAGTTTGTACCTTTTGGGATCGCCAATTAGCTTGATGTATTTTTTTGTGCTGGAATCTTGTATTACAGACAACCAACAGTCGTACCAAAGATACCTTCTTTGCCCACCATGGCATTCGTAAGTATGTACTAGGCGCTCATAAAATGTAACTTTGCTAAATCGTCTTTCACTTCCCTCGGGGCGTAAACGATAATCAACGATATATATATATATATATATACATATAATTGGCGCTTTGTAACCGCGGAAGCGTTTTTTCGGCTGAGCTCCTCCTCCGATTTGTGAATTTATGATTTTGCGTCTAGATGTTTTTCCAACAAATGGAGGGACTTACAGTTCATACTACGCCGCGAAATACACTCGGTTTGGTGGCAATCCGCAATTAGATAATTTAACTTAATTTCCCATAATTTTTGGATGTTGGTGGCAACGGAATATGAACCCAAACCTTCCGAACATCAATACGCAGTGCTAACCGCACGGATAACGCGGCCGATATGTTGAAAAATTTCGCTCATCTCGTCGGAGGCGTTGAAAGCTTTTTTTATTTTTCGCAATTCCAGCCCGCCCGCTCCCAGCCGTATCTCTGGTGAGTAGTCTTCAGCGGACCCTTAAACCGGATAAGTGGAAGTGGCTCCACTGAACTTTTCTCTCTCGTTAACTGTAATCCACGGCTCCACACTGGTTATTTATCGCATTTAACGCGGCCGATATGTTGAAAAATTTCGCTCATCTCGTCGGAGGCGTTGAAAGTTTTTTTATTTTTCGCAATTCCAGCCCGCCCGCTCCCAGCCGTATCTCTGGTGAGTAGTCTTCAGCGGACCCTTAAACCGGATAAGTGGAAGTGGCTCCACTGAACTTTTCTCTCTCATTAACTGTAATCCACGGCTCCACACTGGTTATTTATCGCATCTTGCATATGAGTTGCTCACGTTTCTGGTCTGCGCGACATGGATGCAAAAGTAGGAACTGAGTATAGCCCCGCACCTGTATCAGCATTCCCACAAGCTTGACTACACACTATCTATTGAATCTATGATGAAAAATCCATACTCTATCTCTACGTGCTGAAGATGAAAATGCGTTGATCGCAGCGTAGATTGTTTCTATAATTGTCTTTTAAAAATATGCATTTGAAGTGCCGGTCGTAAAAAGTGCCCGTGTAAAACGACTATAAGAACACACTTATTTACGGGTATTTCAATAAAATGTTTGCATATTTAGGTCAGTGCAAATATTGAAATATTCAGATGCTGACAGAAGTCGACTGAATTAAATTTTATAACTTAGCATATTGACTTGCCTTCACACCAAAAATGCGCCGGTCTGAGAAGGCAATGCCGTGCTTTTGCTATGATTTTAATACTAATGGCTTTCATACGAAGTCGTACGGTGTTTCTGGGAAAATCTCCATTAGCTGCTGAGGACGGGAGAGTGTTTAGGTAACCAGAGGGATACTCTTACTGTTGCTAAAGATGTTCATTTGCCTTCTCTTGGTTCTTTGGCAGGTGCACAGTAGGAGTGTTTTTATCCCGGTCCGCAGGCACTCGCCGCAGAGTTTCGTTGTTAAATAAAGGCACATATCCATATAAACACACAATGCTGTATGTGTACAAGTAAAAGAGAGCACCGTACCTTAATTTGGCCCACGCATAGACGAAGATGAATAACGTCTGAGTGAATGACATACAAAAATAAATAACTCCGGGTACACAGCAATAATAGCAAAATAAGTAAAAGAGACGAAATGGAAATGGCATGGAAATTGGAGTAAATAAGGCCAATGGCAGGCAGTAGGTGTGCGCAGTAAAGAAAAATAATTGCATAAATAAAACGTTGGCACTGCCGAATATGCCTACGTACGCACATATTTGTACATTGGAGTGCAGAATTGAGCCAGCGTTTTGCTTTTTTATTTTCGTGTTTTTTATCTTTTATTCGGTTTTCCATTTGATCGAAAGCGAATCACTGCAACAAATAACAGAAACGATCTTCTGTGAAAATGTGAAAAAGACTGAACAATAAAACAAGATATTTCAAATTTTGTAAATTTAGAACTAAATTTTCTTAAGGTGCAAAGCACAAAAAAAATGTTTTTAATTTAATATTGCAAAGAAAATTTGTTTGAATTAGTAACAAAATCATCATAATCTCGTTTTTGTTCGTCACTGTTGATATGGATATATGTATATATGATTGGTTTTCAAAGCCATTTGCCGATTCTCAGATCATGTACTCTAGTAACTCATATGCAATACATATGTACATATGTATTTACAAAAAAACTCCAGCCAATTTAAACACGCTCGTCTCATCTCGAATTAACAATATAGAGATAAATTCGTATGTAGAATGTAAAGTTTGTACATTTCATTGTATAGTATTCAAATGATTTTGCAATAACGGCTACAAGATTGTCCTTCAAATGGCTACTCACTTGCACGCATATATACATACATATGTATATATTATCATACAAGAGGACAATAATCTGCTATTTACCTAAACACATACGTACATACGAAGTTATGTAGGCGCAATTATACCACTCCACTTTATAAATTGACTGTAGCGGAATGGACGTGCAATAAATCCTTGGAACTTTGTAATTAAAGTTATATAAGTATATATAAGTTGACCTTAAAATTAAAATAAATTAGGTAACAACAATTTCTTTGGTAGATTAAAGCGAGTTCCAGTACTTGCTCGTATCTATGATATGAAGATTTTGTGTATAGGTGTGTGTATTCGCCCTAAAATATTATTTTAGCTACACACTTAATTATAAAAGTAATAAACATATGTTTATATCCGTAATTATTTCTTTGGGAAAGGAAAAGAATGCCTGTTTGTTGTTATCTGTATGGTAATCTGACTAATTTAATAAGAATTTATGAGTTAGAAGTTAGAAGTTAGTAAAGTTTAATCTTTTATAGCAACTTCTAATTTAAGTGCTAATATCTGTGATTTCGAAAATAAAGTTTGTTCAAATGATCGCCCCGCGAATTTTTTTAAACTTCACTCCGTTTGAGTTAATTTTTGATTGATTTTGCCATAACTTGTCGATTGTTGTTGTTTCAAGCGTTCAAGAAGTAAAGGTTTTTCCGCATACCGGTCTCTCACTTAGCCCAAAAAATAATGTCCAACGGTATCAAATCACACGACCTCGCAAGTTTTGTGTGACATTTAATTAGATATTTGGCTTACCAGTACAAAATAGGAACAAAACATTTACAATACAAAATTGAAAAAGAGACGCTCCCTTTAATGACCTAACCCAAAAATAAGAATCTCTGAACGCAAGCCACGGCTGGTTAGTTTTGTAACAAACACATTCTTAAATTCAATCCCAATAACATTTCGCTCAAGTCTTATCACGTGGCTCATTCCTAATTTAAAAAAGCTGAAAAGAAGCTACGAATTGCAGAAACTTGGTTAAAGGAGAAAACGAAACATTGGTATTCTTTTTGCATTTTGATAAACTGAGTATAAGGGTAATAATGAGATTGACAATATAGCACTCCCGGAAAGTTGTCACTAATGATGGTAATTACGGTAAATAGCCGAATGTACGGACACACTACGTTAGGTTAATATGAAAATAAATGACGCATCAACATTTTTATATCATTATTATTATTTCCCTTTTATATAAACGCATTATCTCTGTTTTCATAAGTGTAATTATGTACTTCGTAGTAAATTAAGCAACGCAAGGAAGTAGTAAAAATAAAAGTGTGCAAAGAATTTGTGTCTGTTAAAGCATATGTGGGACTCTTATTGTTGGATGGATGTTTATATTATTTACATAACTATTTGGAACTTGCCATTAATTACGTTTTGGTCTTTTTAAGTCCAACAAGAACGATAGGTTTTGGTAATAGCCAACTTCGAAAAAAAAATTTCTTCTTAATGGGGAGTACTCAATTTACTTCTTGCCCAAAAAAACAGTTTTTCCTAAAACTGTCAATTAGATATAATGGCCACAAGCCGTAGGTTGATAGAAAAATAAACTTTTGAAAAGAATTAAAAATTAATTTTAAATTAAAATAACTCTTCTTCATCCGAATCGACAACAGCACGCCATTTGTTACTTTTTTCGCCAATTGGAATTTTCCTATTTAGCTCTGCGGTCTTATTATTTTCTCCAGCTTCAAGTTGAAAACATCATTTGATGTAGAGTGGCCTTGTTTTATACCCTTTGTGGTACTGAAATGCTCTTCGCCGCCATATTTCCAAAGCACGGTCGAAGGGTCATCGGCTCCCAATCCAATTACCGAGTACTTATTGACCACCTTAACCTTTGATTTCAATTCTTTATTTTTAACATCGAATTAATAGTTATTTGCCTGTTTCCTTGTTTATTGTAGATCTGCATATTTGGCACAATCGCAAATATTTTGAACATAATTGTCCTAACCAAAAAGGATATGGCCAAAGCCCCAATTAATAAAATACTCAAATGGTTAGCGATAGCAGATATGTTTGTGATGATCGAGTATATACCATTCGCTTCATATCAATATATCTATATGAAACCAGGTAAGTAGAAGAACCGACAAATATTTACATACACATATTGAGTGGCGCATGTTTCGCATTAAACACTTTGATGGCTTAAGGCTCACGGCTAATGGCCTTCTATTGCCCAATTACACACAAACACAATCGTAATAGTGGACCTTAGGGCACTTGGTACATAATTACTTTGTTACATAATAATAACTTTTACATTTTTATCTTCCAGGTGAAAAAGATTTCAGTTATGCTTGGGCGGTCTTTGTACTTTTTCATATGCATTTCACCCAAATTCTCCATACAATATCCATTGGGTTGACGGTAACTTTAGCGATATGGCGTTATGTGGCAATAAGGTATGTACTGTGCGCGTTAATTATGTTTATTAGCATAACTATGTAAACAGGCGTACATGTATTCACCCCTTTTAAAACATATATAGTCACGTTGGAGTTTATTTCCTATTGATGTTTGCTACTGAGTGCTTGCGACTTTTTTTCTGTTTTCATATGACGTTCATCCATAAACAACTTTATTTGCATCCACTTATGTTTTTCGTTGCTTGTACTCTTATACGAGCGTAGTAGAAGTTCCTTTTTCAGATACATAGAGCATTTTTTGCCTTGCTATTCTGTAGTATCGCACTTATTTGTTGTGTTTATATGTATAATATAATGTTTAAAGTTTAAGTGATAAATAATCATCATCAAATGAAAACTCGGACTCACCATCTCATTCACTGTCAGTCAACATGGTGTGTGCCATCACCATCAGAATGAAAAATTTCCGTAAGTCACTGCATCCCTATTGGCCAGCTTCTCAAGTTTATCGCGTCACGCATATCGGTTTCCCTCATTTTCTGTCTGTGAAAGAAAAAAACTTCAACTCCCGATATTTGTATCGCAAGGCACGCATAGCGGTCAACGTTTTGAAGTAGCCAAACTTGTTTCTCACTTCAACTCGATATTCCTCTGAGTACACTTAAAGGTCAGGAGTGCAACCACATAAAATAAGAGATGGTTATGATGAACCATATGCATTACAATCTGTTTTGGCCAGTCTTAGGTGAATGGCAGTGAAGAGTTCAAATTATAAATCAAAACCAACAATACCAACGCACTCGTGCGTGAACATGAGAGGTTATCTGCCATCCCACATGGGCGTTTCTTGTTAACTCTGAACCGGCATGACTACCCTTAACCACAGATGTCTCTAAGCTCAATCAACGAATCTCCCGCTGATCCTCTGGTTGTTGCCCTCATCAAACATAATTCCTAAATGATCACATTCCCAAGGTAAATAGTTTCATCCCATTAAAACGAGAGAAAACATCAACCTCTTTTAGTAACAACTGCATACATTTCCAGCTTGTTTATATTGTAATAGGCTGGTCTTTAATAACCAAAGTTGTTTTGCAGCCGAAAATGTGAGCTTTAAAATAAAATCAGAGTTTAAATTTTATATACATTAAATGGTATATTAGCTTTAGCCCGAAGAATATATGTATGTTCAGAGTGTTGAGTTGAATTAGCCATGTCCGTTTGTCCATCCGTCTGCCTGTTTGTATGCAAACTTGTCCCACAGTTTCTGAGATATTTCAAGGAAACTTGGTCAGCGGAATCGATCAAATCGGTCCGCCATATAACCCATTTTCTAGTTATAACCGAAAAACATCGCCGAAAGCATCCAAATAAATATTGACACTGGAAGTCATCGAAGCCCAAATTTTGTATCGTATAACTGACCTACTGACTTTTCAGATATCAAAATTAATATTAAATCCCAAAATGAAACACCACAAGTTTCATATGATCATAAGAGTTAGAAAGAATTTATTGTATTCGATTTTTCGCTTTATAGAAGCAAAGGGAATATTGGATGAGCTTCTCGTCAGATTTGTGTATTCAAAACATATGATTATTGGCAGCTCGAAATTGCCCTGCCTTTGTCATATTTCGTTCGACAATCTATTGATATAAAATGTGTGTTGCATTTAATATATAAAATGTTGAGGTCTAATGTTTTAATCAAGGCTTAGCCCTGCGCCGCGCTAGAATACGAGCTCAAAAAATATACATACCAACAAACCTGAGCCGTACTAAGTTTCTAAAGAGCTCGTTGATACATTAAATATGTATAAATTCAGTAGCTATTCGTAAGTGTCACCAAACGCAAATCAATGGATGTTACTTAAAAGCAAATAAAAATTGATGATCTCTTTCTGTCCTGTGAGCTTAACATAGCTTAAGGAGGGAAATTTGATCAGATAATTCGTCTTTGATGTACAGACTCCGAGTGCACCTGTCGTTCTCTACAATTTCTAATACAGAAACTTAGCTTTATCAATAATTTAACAATTCCTTCCGTTTCGTTTATTTCAAAAGTGATATGTACAATATATATATATGAGATATGTGAAACAGATTTTTTCTGAAATAGTAATAAGTAAGTAATAATGTACTTTTTACTTTACATAGATCCAGTTGAAGTTTGTGTATTGTCCCTCATGTAAATTTAATGTAGATGAAACTAGCAAATATTCGCTCACAAATTATGTTTCCTTTTGAAAACAGTGGGAAACTTGTTTAACTAAATAATTGAAATTCTCTCTTTTGCGTTATTCATACTATTTTTCACCACACAATCAAAATGTTTCATTCCTTCTTGAACTGCTTTTGAATTTTTTGTTTTCGTGCTTAAATTTTTCATTTATAAACTACTTCTCTCGCTTCCGATCTTCATTTTGCTGTATTTTTTTGTTTTTTAGCAAACTTTTTCCTACTCTCTTTTTCAGACACCCACATGGACGGTTCGCTGCCTTCCTACTGTCACATTGCAATGAAGCGATTATATTTTCCTTCATCATATCGCCGATTGTCTGCTTTCCAACATTGTTTGTGTTCAAGGTGCGCGAAAGTTATGTGGAGGATAGCAAGGTGCCGTTATATCACGTCTATGCGGATAAAGATACACATTTGTACAGGTGAGTATTCAGGAGAGGATATGCAGGTGAATTTACACAAATGCCATCTTACTTGAAAGCAAAATACAAATGTCTCTTAAAAGCGTTCTCTTTAAAATCATGCGAGGAAAATCTCGTATTCGCGTAAACTCAATAAAAAAGGGTATATTTTATTAATTAAAAGTAAAGTTTACCAGAGTTACGTTCATAAGAGGACAGCATTACATTTGGACGATATCCTCCAATTTGTGATGTGCCTTTCGACATTTTTCCAATTTTCCAAAAAACGGAGGGGTCTAGAGCTTAATCTAGCCCGCTTCAAGCGGTTGAAGGATGATTATGAGAACCTTAATTTTTTTCAGAGCATGCCATGGTCAAGTCCGATAGGTATAAATTTATTGAAGAGGGTTGCCGAAGATTTGCGCATTGAAAAAATGGGGAAAGTCAAAGAGATGGCAGTTCGCCTTCGGGAGAAGGGAGAACACTATAGGAGTTTAATTTGAGCTACATAAAGCCGTGCCAGTCTGATTCCTTGAAGTTGACAAATATCTAGTGATCCGAGAAAACAAAGTCGACCCATCGATCGAGAAAATTATGGCAAATGGTCGAAGTCAAATAAACCAATCGGATCTTGCTTCTGAGAAGCATTATTCCAAATGGGGATGAAAACATTTACCTTTCTACATATGTTTAATTAAAAATCAAATCAGCTAGAACTCACAAAATATATATAAAATATAATATATGAGCCTGCAACAAAACTCTGTTGCGGGTATTAAGCTGAACTCCGTGTGAACTGAGAACTCAAAATAAACGTCATTGTTGATTCCTTGAATTCGAGATTAAAATATTTATAAGTATATGTATGTGTATACCTTGCTCCTTTGGTCTCAACGAAAACGTGGACATAATTATTTAATTAAGAGCTATCGCATGCCAACGGAAAAAACCTAATTAGAAGCAAAGGTGCTGCACTTGAGCGCTCAACGCGATCTAAGTTATCAGCTCTCACAAATTCGCTGATGCAAACCAAATTAAGACGCTCTGACGTATTTGCATTTACAAAAAAAACATTGTGGAAAAAGACAATGATTGAGAAGGAGATGCCGTGAAAGTGTATCAAACCATTTTTGTCCTCCCGTCCTATAATAAGAGAGTGTATTAAGGAAATGTGCGAGCGTTGGCAAAATATTTACATTGATATTCTCTGTGGAAGGGTGTTATTTTCTCATATTGCAATATGCGTAACGAATGCCACATAGTTTGTAATGATTTTCTCAACTCACTACACACTCACTGACAGATGAACATCGCTAGCTCAATTCAATATACATACTCGGAAATACGGGGGTTGCTTCTTATATTTCAGGATTAGAAAACAAATACAAATATGGTGATCAGATCAAAAATCCTTTTACGATTTTTAAAATATTCTCCATTAAGATCCATGTAATATTTTTGCATGAGTTTGAACCAATTATCGATGCAGGTTTCCACACATACGTTCCGAACGCTTCAACCGCCTCTTCAAGTGTCGAAGAACAAACAAATAGTTCTGCCGTTTATTTTCCAGGTCGTGCCCATACGTAAATTAACAAATTGTGTGTGATCCAACGTAAACAAATATTTTTTACAGTTAATTGTAACAATCTCATGGTAGGGCACATGATGATCGCAACAACATAACATTTTGCGCCCAGCATCAGTAGTTTCAGTAACAGTAACTGATCACAATGCTCAATATCGATTAATGTCCCCATACCATCGATAAACACTATAAACACTAGTTCTTAATATAGTTCATCGCCAAAAACTGAATGAAGTACATCAATACACCGTTGCTGAGTTATTCCACGCCGAAAATTGTAAAAAAATAATCGTGAAAAAATATTTGGGATTTGATTTTATTTTTGGTCAGAGATGAATATTTTAAGTAACTGAACTGTACTGTAACAACATATTTAAGTCATTTAAAAAACGCTACCAGTACGATTGCCAGCTCCCGAAATATACGTACGTAGCTGCAGGCAAATGAGTTAATGTGAGACCATAGATTCAGAAGACAACTAAGTCTGTTGTTTCAGCAAACTAAGCAAATTATACTGCAAAAAGAGACGACTTTCTTCATGGTTCTTTTTATTTTTCCCGCTGCGTCCACTTATAAGAAAATTTTGATGATTTCTTGGTCGGAGTAAATTTTTAATAAAAACGACGTTTTTTGGAGCGCATCCTTTTACATTTGAACGATTCTGATTCAGAGATACTGCATAAATATTCGAGCATATTTAAACATTATATCCAGGGCAATGAGCCAAAGACACAATAATCAAAGCGAATTAAAACAATTATGCTACGTGAATAGATGCACAAAAACCAACGAAAACTATATGTTTTTTGGTGACTCTTGGAAAAGAGAGCTAATGACAATCGGAACATAATCAGATTAATCCATAGTCGAATGGGGATGAGGAACTAATAAAGTGAAATTTTCTACTTCTATAGATCATATTGAAGTATGAAAGCACATCTAATCCACAGATTGGTTGGTAATACTATCATAGTCATTTATCATGAGCTAAATATTTCTGCTATTGTAAGACTAAGGCCCATTTTTACAATGTCCGATTAACTTAGCTTTTAATTGGAGGATAACTAACGGTGAGATAGCCTGGTGTGACATTTTCGCTTTCACCAAGTTCTGGTTATAAATGAATTTATGGTTTTTCATACAAATAACCCACTCTAGCAACATAATCTCATATCACAAAAGCGTTTGTTTGCACCTCAGCTATCCTAACGTCGGCATCAACAGGTGCTTATGCTGCTTCATGCACTTGAGCTTTTACTTCATCAAGGTTATAATCATTGTTCTGTATAACATTATTGAAGAAGACAGCCCGCTTTTTCGGTATTCTGATGAATGATTGAACAAGCCGTTACAGCAATGCTGTTTCCCTATAAATACGCCCCTGAACCAACGCAGCCAGATAGGCAGTGCGTTCCATATTTTCCATAATAAAATTTATTTCAAAGCGAACACCGGAATACTATTTTATTTGTTATTTTACAATTTTCTGCAGTCAAATTATCTTCTGGTTAAGACCTAATTGCCACTCAATGTTGGCGTTAAGTTAACCGCAACTTAATTTACAGATGCGCCTTAACCGGACATTATGAAAACGAATTTTATGCTACCTTCCGATTAAGTTATGATTAAGTGTTTACGCGAAGATGGTGAAAACGGTCCTAATACTTCGTAAGACTTTTTAGGTGTGGCCTTTAACTTTATAAATGCATTATTAAATGCTCGCCGCACACCTTTTTCAAAGCATAATGACTAAGTAAGCCGCGTTTATTTCAATTCTGAGAATCCTTAGAAAGGTCATTCAACAACATTGACAATTTTCTCTTAAGAGAAAACTCGGTTTCAATACTTTTTCATTCTCATTTAGCTTTCAAATTAATTTAATCCTATCTTAGAGTATTACAACTTAAAACGAGCTCTCAGTACTATGTATCACTGCATTTTTTTTCGATGATTTGAAAACGGTTTTTCCAAATATTATTGTGTTTCGAAATCTGTTATTTGTTTCAGAATTAACTTTTGGATACATTCAGTGATTATAAAATTGTTGCCCTGCTGCATTCTCACCGTTATTAGTTTTATTTTGGTACGAGTATTATACGAGGCATCGAAGCGTAAGCAAAAACTTAAAGACTACAATAACTCCAATAAAACGAGTGGTGGCAATGGAGGAGCGAGCTGTGGTGGTGAAGTGCCATTGACGGAGCAACGACGGTGCGTATGAGTAACATTCTTGTATTTTCTATTCAATTTCAGTGTGATTTAAGTAAATCTCACATTTCAAAATAAGCTCATAAGCTATGTTTATTTAACTGCAAATGAATAGGATTGTCAGTGAAGATCATATAATATAATATAATTTTGTACAACTACAAACGAATTAACAAATGTGCTCACATATTTATTATTATTTTTTATGTTCACACATTTGATTTCATTCCATAAAAGCTGTAAAAAATTTAATTAAACACATACACAATTTTTTTTTATTTTTTTTTTTGTGCGACTTTTATATTATAAAAAAAAGTTGTTAAATATGGAAATCACTGACATTGTTACCAATTCATAGCTTTTGATTATAAATATTTTAAATTTAGTTTAAATTAATTTCAACATTTAATCAAATTACCTGGTCAACTACTTAAAGATCACGGGTTTCTGCTCTGATTTTTGAATTGCTTCGATCAAATTTAACTAACTGCAAATCTTTCCATCTTCACTCCTTTCATATCTACAGTCCGCCGAAATGTGATCGTCGCACCGACCGCACTACAATGCTCCTGGTGGCCGTGCTCATACTCTTCCTAATCACTGAATTTCCTCAAGGTATACTCGGCCTCCTATCGGGTGTTTTGGCGAAATGCTTCTTCTTCGTTTGCTATCCACCATTTGGCGAAATGATGGATCTATTGGCACTCATTAATGCCGCTATTGGCTTTGTGCTCTACGGTTTGATGTCCAAACAATTTCGAACAACATTCAAGTCATTATTTTTCAAAAAGAATTTCGGCAGTATGGAAATGACTCGACTAACGCGGGTCACCACGACGTGCGTTTGACTCCGGTGTGGAGGGTCACCTTAACTGCTTTAATTACTGCAAGCGTCGCTGCACGAACTGTGTAGAGTGTTGATCAGAAAGTGAATAAGAAATGGCTCGGAGATTGCATCATATTAGAACCTGTAAATATGTATATATGTAGAAAAGATGATTCAAAAATTCGAAACTTTGGTTCGCAACGAATTCGCGATAGCGGTTCGCATCGCTATTGTAGTGCATTGTTATTGTAGTGCGCAAAATTGTTGATATCTTATTACAGGAAAATTGATCGTATGCTATAAGGTGTTCCTCCTGTTCTTCAAATCAAATGTATCTTATTAAATATATATGTAATTTTGGAATGTGAACATTTTTATAAGGGTACGAATAAAATGAGCTTCTTCTTTTCAATGGTAAGCTTAAGATGTGAAAATTTTTTACACTTTAAAGATTTAAGTTTAAACTAACATAGGCTTTTTACAAAAAATTATATATTAATCTTAAAAGAAATTAATAGTTAAGAAAAATTAAGTGCTAATATTATATGATGTTTACATATTAAAAAATAAATACTGAAATTTTTTCCTATAAAAATGTATATGCATAATGCAAATTGTAATTGCGACAGTGAGATTCACCAGTACGAAGTGCCATTCATCTGAAACTACAAAGAGAGATAATATAATTGAATAAATAATTCTATTACAAGCTTTAACATAAGAAAATCCACTTTATTTGGAAAGATATGTGCCAATTTAAAAATCCATATACATACAAACATATGTGCAGGAAGTGCGATGATAGTCAGCTGAATCTTTGGCAGCCGCAATTTTTATTAGGGTGAAATTTTAAAATTTGTGTTAAAAAGAGCATAAAATAATTGGAAGTAGCCAGCTCCACCGATTTATGTAATTGGCGCTTTTTAACCGCTAGAGTGATTTTCGGCAGAGACTCTCCTCAAATTGTGGTGTTGAGTCTTGATGTTTTTCTAACAAATGGAGGGACCTACAGTATATTCTAAGCCGCCTTCGAGTGGCTGATAGTTTTTTTATGAGCTGCTTTATTTCATGTCAGAAATACACTCGGAGGGGTTGACATTCCCTGCTGAGGGGTGACTGCAATCAGAAAATTTAACTCGGGATTTGAATCAGAACCTTCCGAGTCTCAGTACGCAATGCTTACCACTCGGCCAGATATAAAAACTTTATATGAAGCACTTAAGTGAAAATAATAAACCGTTTCAATAAAACGCCCATAAAACTTACAGCCTCATTATAAATAGTGAAAAAGTCTGCGCTCAAGCAATGTCCAACCGTTTAAACCATATTTCATACATAAAAATATGGGAATTTCAATTGAAACGAAATATGTCTCCTCTTAATGAAGCTCTCAACTATGCATAAGAAGTCGCAATTTATCATAAAATAAACCATAGCCGCCTACATACAATTAAACAATTGAGCAAAGATGACTTTGTTGAAAAAATTAACACCCTAACTGTCTGGTGTAGCCAAGCCAGCTTTACGGAATGCCGTGGGGATAACCATTATATTATATTGTAGTATTCTTATCGCTAAATATTCGTTTTTTGTTTTACATTGATTACATAAATTGCCAAATTCATTGCACATTTACTACCCAAATAAGGTGAAACCAGATGGGATGTGGAAAATTGGTTAAATATAATATTATATTGGAAACTTTGAATTTTTATATGCGCAATAAAATTCCTCAGAACACCTACAAAAATCAACGTTTCCGGACGTTTCGAAATCGAATAAGGTTCATATACCTTACACGAAAGAGCTCTTCAGTGCGATATTTCAGAACAACTCAGAATGTTAAAAATCCACAGGAAAAAGTGGTGTGTGAAAATTTGAGATGAATATTCTATTCAGTATCCTATTAAACTCAGTATCCTCAAATTGACTTGTGTGGCTAGTTAGTCGGTGTGTGCACCATTTCAATTCCGTGCACATTTTAATCAATATGGAAACCATGATAAATATCCAGCGCGATATACATCTTCTTGCTGAGCCCCATAGAAATGTATCTTGCAGTTGGATATTTCAAGAAAAAATATATATTTATTATCATTTTTATTATTATTATATATTAGCGATATGAGTTACACTTAAGTACCTACACATAGTAAACGTTCAAAAGAGACTAAAATACAAAACTTAGTACGATTTAAGAATAGCTATATCACATAACTATGTACGGGGAAAAGATGTATAAAAAATAAAAATTAAATTAACGAAGTATTTACAGAATTATGAAATACTTGTAATTTAAGGATGTAACTAAATATATATCGTAGTTTAATTAAAATTATGATATATGTGGGCCTTTGTTATTAAAAACAGCCGCTGATATTAGTTCTAGGGATTCAGCGGGCGATGGTTGTGGGCTGCTTTATTTTCTACTTGCTAAACGAGTTCAATTGGTAATTAGCACATATTGATGTAGATTTCGGTTTCAAAAAGTAATAAGTTACGTACGAGCATACCGTTTTCCAAAGTTATAGATATTTATAATACTTAAAATGAAATTAAAGTTCATTAAGAGTACATTTACAGAAATATTTTTGTATAACAAGATAAATAGTTATTAAATTCAAATCAAGTCACTTGTATGCAGATACTGCGTATTAGATTGTAACTAAGTAGCTATGATATGTGTATATACTTAGATAAATTGTAAAACATTAATATTAGTGTATATAATTGTGTATATTTTATATGACACCGTGATTATTCTTGAATAAAATGTTAAATAAATTGATGTTAACGAGAAAAAAATAAATAAAATTAAACATTGAAACAAATGCATACATAAGAATATAACAAGAAAACATATACAGTAAATGCAGGTGTGTATATAATTAAATTAACTTAATTTGGTGTATTTATTAAGCTACTTTTTTATAGACGGACCAGCATTCTATGCAACATTTACAATCATAAGGTGTATTTGTAACCAATAGAACACAAAATCACGAAACGTGAAAAAACTGTACTAATTAATATGTGTAAAATCTGTACATGGCCCCACGTGCGCCGAGCCTTGGTCAAATTTTTCTAATAGGTTGGTTCCTAATCCACAAACACAAGACGTTATTCAGATATTCTCTTGCCTTTATGGCAATTCCCAAAATATGCGAAAACGCAGATATGCAAAAAAGAAACCCAGAGTCTGGTTGTGAGAGATATTTTTTTTTCAGACAGCGTGTGGAGAGTGCTAATAATGGCCTTCTCATATTTATAGATAAAACAGCAGTTGTATACTTTAAAACGTATAAAACGTTATTACGCTTATTCCCTCACCGCAGAAAATATAGCGTTCACGGTAATCTAAGAAACGAGCTGACTTTAGATTTTTCTGGTCCTTATCATTATTTAGGCAAATAGGTACCTGTACGAGGTGTGTACAAAAAATATTGCGAATTTCGTGTTTTTTCAAAAATTATTTATTTATTCATGAATATCTATTTTGTCCCTTGTGCCAACGGTTTTGCCAATCTTCGAAACACTTTAAAATATCATTTTTTCTTATCTTGTTCATCTCCTCCTTCGATACCGTCTTTATCTCGTCAATTGTAGCATAACGTCGTCCTTTTACGGGCCTCTTCAGTTTAGGGAACAAGAAAAAGTCACAGGGGGCCAGATCTGGTGAATACGGTGGCTGCGGCATCATTAGTGTGAGCCAAGCCAATTTTTGTTCTTCCACAAATCCGGACGTTTCTGGCAGATTGCTTCACGTAAATTGCACATAACTTGCAGGTAATATTCCTTTTTGACCGTTCTACCCTGTGGCAAGAACTCATGATGCACCACGTCCCTGCAATTAATTTTTTCGCCTGTTGTTGAAGTGCTCGGGCGTCCGACACGATCTTCGTCGTTCACATCTTCTCGTATACCGAATTTCAACTAAATCGAGCAATTACGAAGGAGAAATGTCGTTCCCTTGTCCATTTGCTGGCTAAGCTTGAAAATTTTCCAGTTTTCACTTTTATATTGTCATTTAAATAGGACTGAATTTTCATTGCCCACTTGATTGTTGTATTACTGATAACATCTTTGTTATCGTGTTATTCATTAACTTCGTTTCCACACAAGTTATTCCTATATTTAAATAGCCTTCACGTCTTTCCTACTAAATGAAAGTATTTCATTACATAAAGTTGTTTATAAATATGTGTCTCCAGTAGCGTATCTGTTTACTATTATTGTTTTGCCTTTGCACTTACCACACTCTCACTTTTGATACTTTTTCAAGCTTAACAGAATATTTTCTTCTCCTTTACTGGCATGGGCACACCTTCCGCGATTATAGCCATTCATTCCATCTCTACATTCGTGCGAAATACCCTAGCTAGCGTAGCCGCTGTCTATTTATTCGCTAAAATATATGTGTGCGCAGGCGGTTGCTAAGGCCAATGATATCAATATCAGCGCACGAAAAATAGTCACCCTAAATGAAACCTTGTTTAGCACGGAACGACTCGGATAGTGCCATCGGAGTTCTGACTGCGCCCCTGGAATTGTCTAGAGTCAGTTTACACAGTACCAGTTTTGCAGAGATACCAAATTCAGACATATCAGCTTAGAGGCAAGAGAAAAGCGATGTGTATTAATTCTACGCTCTATATATCGGTAACCTTGGTTCCTCCATAAGTATGTTATGGGCACTCCAGCTCTCGGTTTCTGTCCCACTTCAATGGGTTTTGGTCGACGACAGTGTTACCAGGAAGCACTCGGATATCCAAGTAAGTGCCCGGACATTCCCGCTACATGGCCTTAAAGCATGACACTTAAAAGCGGTTATCTCATTCTGGGCTTATTTTCTGTCTTTATCATTGGATTCTATTTTTTATTTGACGGGTTCAAAACCCTACGCACACCAGTAGCGGCTTCATCTACTCACTTCAGCTCGCCTTCAAGCGGAAGTTTGTTGGCTACCCAGAGGATAATTGGACTAATATCGAAAGTTGTGAGCTGCTTGAATCCCAAATTAATCAATTCTGGCCACTTCAAACACTTTCCTCGCTTGCGTGAACTTCTGCACATGGCTCCATCAATGTAATTGCAATTAATAATATTCTTTAGAAAAACATATTCGCAAATATATCAGTACAAACCTTTGCCCTTCCCACCACTAAGGCAATCAATAATAATAAAATACACGCACCCACATATGTGTTTCGAGCTATTTATTGTTATTTCCGCATTTGACTTTCATCTTAGTATTTACAGGTGCAAGTGCAAAGGCCAATAAAACTGAGCAAAACTTTCCAGACAACTGACAAAAGAGAAATTAAGAACCTTTATTTTACTAAAAAAAAAGGATTATTTCGTAGCCATCGACTTGTTTGTTTACTACAATTATAATTATTACACAAAGGGTTTTTTTATTTTCACGTGCTTGCGTTTATATTTACATTAGGGCGGCTCTAAAGTAGAACGCCAAAAATAGTTTTTATGGTTTAGTATGGAACCGTTTAACATTTAGTAGAGTCCCCAGGGTTTTGGAAATTCTTGCTTAAAATAGAAGCGAATTCTCTCAATCCAGCTTCTTTATTAGCGTGTAGCACATTGTAAACATCAGTTCCTTATGTATGTAAATACAATGGATTTTGCAGATATCTCAAAATCATTGTCATCTAGCGGAAATAAAAACCCTAACCACATATATCTATGGTGAGATAATTAAAATTATTAGATTATAAAATCAGAAAAATTAATTTTCTGTATTTTCTTCGCCAAGATCACCCTAATATAGCGTGTACAATTTATGTGCATATAAGTAGAATTTGCATTTAGTTTTCAATAGTTTCCTTGTTTTTCCGTTTCCCTTTCAATTTCTGCTGTATTCCAACGAATATTGAATATCTCACAAACATTCCTGTTACTACGTCGACCAAGTTGTCAGTCGCATGCAAATACAATATCGGCAACAGCTGCTATCCTCTTCACTGTCAACACCACTAGCACTCTGGGTCAAGTTTATGTTCTTGTTGCTGTTGCTGCTTATGTTTCCACTGTCTGTCATTGCTTTCTGTTCTTCACAACGTCCCACCACTTTGCCGAAGCTATCATCATCCGCGGCATTTTCTTCGCTGCATCTTAGAGAGCTATATTTGTTGTCATTGTTGTTGGGATTTGCTGAAGTATCTGGTTGTTGGGTTAAGAATTCGTCTCCATTACGTCAATCATCACGTTGTCAGGCATTGACCACAGCGTTCACCTCAAGCGGCATTTCTGCGGATGGCGCTGAGGTCGCAGCTGCGAGGGCCGCTGTTTCCAGAGCTCTCGCCTTTGTATCCTGCAGTCGTTGTTGGTTACCAGCTGTCTGACGTTTTACGCCATAAATACCATAGATATCGTCAGCACTGTTGCTTTCATGTTCCCTGATACTCTCTTTAGATGCCTGAAAGTCGACGTCTCTTGCCAGACCAGCCGGTGTTAGTGATGTCAATGCATTACTTGTTGAAATTTTGAGAAGTGATTTCAATTTGGTCGCTTGGAATTTATACTGAAATGTGGCATGAAGAAAAGGCGAATAGAGTGGTTAAGAGAACAAAAACAGAGAGAGAAAAATACAGAAGATGATAAAATGAACAACAAAAAATATATGTACAATGATAATAATGATTTCACTTAAATTTAGTGTATTAATGCATACACACCAACACATCCTCACATGGAAAATAAAACAACACTCTCGTACGTCGTTGCCTACTGGCCGTTGTCGTCGCAATTTACAGCGGATATGACAAAGCAAAATACATACATATACTCAAATAAAAGGACATCTGCATTAAAAAATTCAAGAAAAAGTAAGAAATAAAATAAGCAAAAGAAATCAGGAAAAAACCACATCTGCGGCAAATGTCTAGCACTTTAAGTGAAAAATTGCTAATAAGATGTGCTTGCGAGGCAGCATGACGCTTTCTAATTTCGATAGTAAGTAGTGCAGTACAAACACAAGCACATTAACCAGGAGATGGAGATGGAGGGAAATAAAAAATAACAGCACTACAATGAAAATGGAAGACACCTAATAAAATACATATACACTTAATAAATGTAAATATAGTAGTGTATGATGTAAAAGAGCTTGCAACATTTTCAAGGTCAATTAAAGCTTAATCCAGAAACAAATTTAATCAGCGTTCCAATTTCCAGTGGGAATTATTTTATTTAAAATGCTGTCATAATTATTTTCATTGCAGGCTTGAGTATATGCATACGTTCATACATACATATTGTATATATATACTTTTAAATTTTAATTGCCAGCTTAAACTAACACCTCTTGAAATATTTCACTCAATCAATGTTAGCTCGATTTTATTAGGGAACTGAATCTAGACAATGGGCTAAATACTATTGGAATTAATAGTTTTTGCAACCATAGAAACCATGTTTTGGAACGAAGGTAATACAAGCTAATGAACTTCCTTTAAAAAGATTGAGCATAATAAATTGTGATTGTGCATTTCGATTGCATTCCCACATTTCGGTCCGCAACGTTCGCAATTTGGTATTCTCAGACTCGGTCGAACCAAAAGAAGAAGAGGAAGAGAGCAAAATTAAAAAACGAAATCAGAAACGCAAATTGTAATGTGTGAATTTGAAGCACAATAAAGACAACGCGGAAAAAATATTACTGCTTAAGCAAAATAAATAAAAACTAAATCGCCTCTTTAAATGGATGCTAGAAGCCGCTGCGATATTGAATGGAGAAGAGGAAAACTCAACAGAAGCTTGGGGAAGTTTGCGCGTCATGTGTGATTCTTTTCAAATAAGTGACGAAAAGTAAACCATGGAGCTTGAGAGGGAAATATTCAATACAACAGAATTCCTTGAGTAGACTCGAAAAATCTTTAGACTCAATAAGGACGCTTTCAAGTATATTCAGGATATTTCAGCGGAAGAACCTCGATCAAAAACTTTGACAGTATTATCTCCACTTATTCAAGCAATGCCTACGAAGAAATTTTTGCAGTGAGCAGTTACCAATATAGAGTTAATCCAAGTTGCAGAACAAGAATGCATCACATAACAGGGCCCATTGCATTTTGGTGGTGGAATAAGTGCATTTGATTTCATGTCAGAGTATACTCGGTTCGCATTCCGGAAATATTTTTTTAACTTTTGCATTCATTTTCGATAATTTCGGATGTCGAAATTCTGGCGGGACTCGAATTCTGGCGTTCTGAATGGTGGTACGCTATTGCAGCCGCGAAAGTATAAAATCTAGTCATTCTTCGTCACATAAATTGCAACGCACAAAACGTAAAGACAAGCTGAATCGTGATTTGAGTGAAAAAGCGAAATATTACTACGAAAGTAAGCATGCGAAAATTCTATTCCTATTACTATTGTGATCTCATTTTGAGTAACAAATTGCTTAATTTTGTTTTTCAATTTATTAAATGCTATAAATGAATATACGTGTAAATCAAGTTAGCATTATTAATAATGGATAATAAATTATTGCTGGAGAAATAAATATGAATTTTCTGTTGAAAATAATAAACAAAATTTCATTCAAAACAATATTAATTGCTGATCATTGCTTTATTATTATTATAAAATTGCCTCAAGTGTTACACCAATTTCCATAGCATAATCAAATAAACACATAACATATAATACATAAGTTAATATTAAATTTATAAAAATTAGAAAAATATACACAGATTTCTATGAAAATATACTACACTATTGAGAATATTATTTACGTATAAATCGTCTATAGAAGTTTAAGTTACAAACAACATGGAAATGATCACAGCACAATAACACACACTTGTACAAAATTAACATTTACGTACCTGCTTACAGCAATGTCTATTTCACAAACTACAAATACATAGTGGTACAACAACACAGCTTTCTATTTCCATTTGAATGTACAAATGTGTGTCCGGCTTACATAACCACAAATACTCTCAAACAAAACCAATCGATGAACACCTACATATATGAGCATATATGTATACTTTATATCTACATTGTATTTCTATGTAATACGCCAAATGACATTTCATTAAAAATAGTAGTTTGCTAATTCAAATGGCAGGCAATTAGAACTTGATGCAAACAAACAACAAACTATTTATATTCGATAAGTAGAGGACATGCATAACTAGCTACTTGTAAAAAAACCCAACCAGCAAAAGTTAGGCGATTTCGACAAATTTCTCTATGGTTTCTAATTGAAATCATCTAATTCCTTTTCCGACTTTCATTACATGTAATTTTTAGTGAATTCAATCCGAGTGCTCTTTTGTGAGTGAATTAAAAACTTAAGGGATACAAGCTATTCAATATGTTAGTTGTTGTTTACTGCATGTTTTTCTACTAATTTTTTGATATTTGTAGAATATGTTTCAAGAATCTTTGAATTATTTTTTAATTGAATCGTTCATATTTTTAACGATTTCCTGAAGATATCTCGAAAATTTCAGACATCGTTCAAACTGTTTGAGAATTGCCCAGACGATAAAAGATATCTGTGCGACAGAACGAAAGAGTGTGAGTGCAAAGGGTGTTTGTAAAAAAGAGATGGCATTTAACAATGATACAATTTGTGAAATGAAGGATAAATTTGTATTTGTAGAGCCTAAATAAATTTCAAGTTTATATAGCCACAGATGGTTTTTTTGCGTGTAAGCTAATGAATGCGTAATTCATTGTTTTCAGTAAGTTTTAATTGCAATTTTTTTCTTTTAAATTAAAAAATATACTAATTATTTAACTAAACAAACATTAAAGCAGGCAGACGCGTGTACATGAATTTCCCAAAGGTGTTTGATCAAATTGGTCAAAGCCGACACTGTGTCTGCTGACTGGGTTTTCTTTACAATTTAAACGTCCCCTGGCTACAAGTGCAACCAGAAGAACCAACAGCAACTACAACTAAATGATTATATAGCAACTACACTTTACCAACTGTGAATTTTTTTACGTACTTCCGTGTGAAATATCAAGAAAACATTGAAAAAAAGCAATTATTTAGTTTGAAACAGTTTGCAAAAACCTACTAAACATATGTATGTATATACTACAATAGTGCAATAGTCCAGAGTTAATATCCACACAACCACATCTGCACATGCACAAACACCACCACAATTAGCGTCCCCGCCCTTTCGCCTAATTGCTTCTTCAGCAACAATTGCTCCTGCCACCACAACAAATTGCAACGTCAACGCCAATTCCTTGCCGCATAAGCCCATTGTGCCTTTTGTAATTGCCCCAAACTTACTTCGGTCGGTAAGAGAAGATCCTGCGAGGAACTAACAAAGCGTGTAAATTGCTCTGTAGCAAGCGCAACGCGTCCGGTTTCGTAGCAGAAGAGCGCAAAGTTTAAATGCACTAGTGGATTACGTCCGGCTTCTTGTTGCTTCTGCTGTTGATGTTGATGTTGCTGTTGATGTTGCTGTTGTTGCTGTTCCTGCTGCTGCAGCTGCTGTTGGTGGTAAAGTAGTTGTATTTCATTCGATCGTTGAAAGGCCTTAAAAGCATTCTCGCCATCCTCCAACTTACGCAAACAGACTGCAATTGCAATTTGTGGCCGTCAATAAGTTTATATATGTACTTGAGTGTGTGCAATGAATGATATTATATATATATATATGTACGTGTGTACTTATGTTGGTGACACTTTTGAAAGTGGAATTCTTTATTGTTGTTGGGTTGGGCAAACGAAATTGAAAAGTATAAAAGTCGGTCAGAAAATCAGTAATTAGAAAACTGATGGAAAAAGATTTGCGGCAATGATGAGAATTGTCATATAATGATTAGTGTTTTGCTCGAAAATTAAATATTTCTTACATCTGATGACATTTTGGACAAGACCCACGCCGTTGGTGCTTTGTACCGTCACCCAATTAACGTAAGAACTTATTACATCAACAAATTTAAAAAACCTTTCATTTGCCATTTCCTCTTCGCCCGCCAACTGCTACATTACTATTCCGCATTTGCCTTCCTTAAGTGTACATTCTTTGCGCTTGGGGAAGTGAAATGTTGATAGGAGGGAAAATTTGCAGCAACAATTACCACTCAACAAGGCATAAATAAAGGACTAAAGGATTTCCGGTTAGCGGTCGTGATAACGACGACATTTAAGGACAAGTACTCATATATAGCACAAATAAATTGCGTTTAAGCTGTTAGGGTTGCAGTTGTCTGAACTAACAATTAAAGCAGCGATAAAAGCTCACGCGAAACAGTCGACAAGAGACATAGGTGAAGACTACGTGCGAATGTATGCATACATGATTATGCATTTACACTGCGGAGACAAAGGTTAACTCAGCTTCCATTTGAACTGTGCACACAATATTCCGGTTTTGCACCATAAGCAGATTATGAGGAGTTTATAAACAGAACCGCATTTTCTCAGAACTTAAACAATACTTAGTAAGGACGTGGATACGTAATCAAGCAAGAACGAGCTCATTTCTACATAACAGTGACTTACTTCCGAGCAGCATATAACATTCCGCGCTGTCCTTGCGCAAGTTGATGGCTGCGGCAAGCGTGTGAAAAGCGCTGGCGTATTGTTGTGCTGTAAAGATAAAATACATAAAACTTTTTTTAGCGCAAGCAAAATACGAATGATGGGGCCAAACCACTAACGAAGAAGTGGATTTTCAAATTGAAAAACCACAAAAACCGCAAAACTAAAAAAAAAAAAAACAAAAGGGAAGGAAATAATGGTTTTCGTGAAGAAAATATTTTGATCTTCCATCTTTTTTATTATTCACAGGATTATTCCCCGATCAAGATTTGTCTGAGGTCAGGCTTTCTTGTTAATTTACTCATGCTCAAATAATATTGATTGGATTCATACTCAAATAACTGTAGTGTAACGAAATTACTATTAGGAAGGAGAAAAGAAGCTTATAGTTGCCTCTGGGTAACTATACTTATATAGGACTAATTAGATCCATTTCTTAATTTCCGCAGCAGTGTGTCTTAATTTTGAGTTTCAGAGCATTTCACGTAAATGTTAGTATTAATGATTCAAAGTAAGCCGAATAGGTCGGTACACTTCCTGGAAAAAAAGAAATGCGAGTTCTCTGAATAGACCAGTCCCTGACCCACTTCCCGATGTGTAAATAGCTTACGTCTTATTCTCAGTCAGGAGAATTTTAATAACAAGATGTTCTACGTAATTAGTTAAAAAAAACGTCTCAATTGTAAAATTAAAAAGAAAACAAAAATTTTAAAAATAAAATTCCAGACATAATAAGTAACATTTTTATTCAAAAATATTTTTCTTCTTTATTGGCGTTGTCACCGCCTACGCGATTATAGCCGAATCAATATTAGCGGCTCATTTCTCTCTCCTTTTCGCTGTTTGGCGCTAGTAGGAAATACGTAGTGAAGCCAGGTGCATTTCCATCTGATCCTTCCAATGAAGTGGAGGTTTTTCTCTTCCTCTGCTTCCACCAGCGGGTAATTTATCGAATACTCTCAAAGATGGAATGCTTTCATCCATTCAATTCGAACTATGTCATTACTATCATAAAGCTCATCGTTCCATCGCCTGTGGTATAGCTAGGTCCTGTGGTCCGGATGGATAAGAATACTCCAGCTCTGAAAGTTTTCGAACCAGTACCCGCCAGTGGAAGCTGAGCAATATGAAGATCTCCATTCCGTTGGGAAGATCAGCTAGAGAGGCACCTGCCTCTACTTGGTATCTCCGAATGACGCCAAGCAGCGAGAAAGAGGAATGAATGACGGGATTTTATAAAGTAAGTAAGTATGTTCCACAATCCTCATCGTACCAGTTTTTTCTGACACTGCCGAAAACCAATTGTTTCCGTAGCGGCTTTTCGACGTCGAACCTTCCTTGTATTTGTTGAAGAGCTTTCTTTAATACACAGAGGCGCGTGCTCATCTTCGCTGCGACAAGATATGAGACAAGATTCGAGTCGAGTTTATTCATAATAAAATATATAAATATGTACATATATCAAAATAAAAGTGATGTTATAAATAGCGACATCTTAACTTCACTTTCCATTTACGTAATTTTACTTAATAGCAATTTACTGAGTGTGAGTGGTGGGATGGCGAGTATTTTAAGCAAAAGTGGACATTGTTCTCAAGGCCAATCACAAGTTACATATACATATATGTGCGCCCGTGTGGAGAGATGCAATGAAAGCCGACAAATCGAAGCATTGAAAATGAAGACAACTTTAAATGAATTTCAGGATTTTTTTACCTTTTTACTGACCGCCTCACTCAGAATCACTCTTGCTCAACCGTAGCATCAACTTTCTCATGGGATTTAGAGAAACACTTAAAGCAAAAGTCAAGGCATCATTAGACTTAATAAAAGAGAATATGTAAGTACAACATGTATCACCAAAAGGAAAGTCTTGTTTAACCAAAACACAAGTATTTGATAATAATGTCATGCATGGACATGTTTATATGTAAGAAGTGGTGAAACGCGCTCCAAATTTAGTAACATTTAAAGTTAAAATGCACAAATTACGATCTTACTACGGGCAGATAGTTCAAGTGATTCGTGAAAGGAAAGTAAATATAAACACATGGAAAACATTTATCTGAAAAAATCTATAGAATTTCGTTATAAAATACTATGATGCTAGTATTCATAAGAAACTGGATCGACAACTTATTCGGCCATTTTATCAAGCGACGCTGTTTGCCAGCAAAACCTCTGAGTATTCTCTTCCAACGTGTCAACCAATTCGCCTATTTCTGTATTTCTGTGTAGACAAGCGACTCCAGATAACCCCACAAAATAAATTAGGAGGTGTTAAATGCACTATATTGGAGGTCAGGCCACAGGCCCAGGATGTGAGATAATGCGTCGTTTCGTTTCGTTGATTGTATGGCATACAGCTCCGTCTTGTTGGAACCAAAGGTAGTCTAAATCGACAATCTCCAATTCAGGTACGGAAAAGTCGTTAATCGTTAATCGTGGTTCCATAGCGTTCTCCATTGAGTGTAATTCTATGGCCGGCCTCGCTTTTTTTTAAATATGGGCCAATGGTACCCTCTGCATATAGCGCACACCAAACAGTGACTTTTTGAGGATGTAACACGTTCTCAAGAATAGCTTGTGAATTGTCATTACAATTTTGTTTATTAACGTACCCATTGAAGCACAAGTGAGTTTCATTGCTGAACAAAAATTTCTTGTTAAAATCAACATCGGTGGCCATCTAACCCAACATGTGACGCGCTTGATGGTCGCTTGATGGTCGCTTGACTTCAATTTTCGCACGAACCTTCCGCAAAATCCTTCATAAAGGAGGGTATACAGCTCCGATTGTTGCGCCCGTTGTCGGATGAAATCGTTCGCGTCTTCTTTGATACTCCACAGCAGCAAAACCGTCTTCGTTGGACATCGTGTGACATCCCTTCGGATGTGCATTATCCATTAGTGTAAACTTTGTGCTCAACCTATCGATGGTTGCTCGGACTAAGTCCGTTCATTATGAAGTGGCAAGCCAAACTGTGTATAAATCAAGCAACAGCTGTCAAAAAACAACTCTGAAAACGAATAGCCTCATTGAAAACAAACGTACAAAAAAATCTTATTATTCTCTCCAGGAGATTATTGAAAATGTTAACTTATAAATATATGTATGTACATAAAAAAAGAATTATTGTACTCGCATATATACTTGCATATATATATGTATGCACATAAATGTAATAAAAAGTTACTTTTTAATATACTCACCGGATATGTAAATCAAACTTAAATTATAAAGGGCGTTATAATTAAGCGGTGAGAACCATATGGATTTACGCAATGAAGAGATTGCCTGCAATAAATGAAGAAGATTAACATTGCAACAATATTTTTGTATCAAGGTAGTGTGATATTTTGCTCAAACAATTGATTGGTAGTAAAATTCAATAAGCAGAGTGGTCAACACAACGTACTATCTGGTCAGACCGACATCCAAAATTAATGACAATCAATTAATTAAATTCTTCTGGTTGCGGTCGGCCCTCTGCAGGAAGATAAAGTGAGAAAATCACCTAGATAACAGGAGCTCTTAATTTAGTAAATGCTAAAAAAAATTAAATCTATATAGAAATTTCTCTTAAAATATGTAAATTCACTCTCGGTTCGAATTCTGTTTAAAAATTGTTAAAGAGTCTTAGCATATTTAAAAATTTGAAAAACGAAAATTTTTAACATCACCTCGCTGTTCTTCTGAACTGATAAAGCTCTATTTTTCCTAGTAGCTACTATTGTGTTCTACAACCCATGCATGCCACAAGACCTTAAGAAAAATATTTTTCTTTACATTGATAATATTTTATTTTTTCGAAAACTTATTATATCGAAGAATTTTATTGAGACCAGTACCTTCGTAGGGCCGATTCACAATATTCATCGTTCTAGGGATTTTGAAAATTCACCTTGTTTTTAGGGCATTCATCATTTCACAAATCTTGAATATATATATATTTGCAAACTTACCGCAATTATTTTTTGTGGCCTCTTTTTAAAAAAACATAATCCAATATTATTCCACAATTCTGGAATGTCCGGTTCGGTCATTGTAATTTCTCGATATTTTCCCAAAGCCCCATCGACATCGTTACGCGACTGTAATATTTAGAATGTAACCGAGCCATTATAATGTTGGGAGTATGAAGATGATACTAGGTGTAGTAAAAATAGATTCATTACTTTTCCAATAAATGGCGTTATTTCCATGTATTTGTGCTCTTCTGACAGTTTTGTGATTGGTTGGTTCAGTTTTGCTTGAGTCAGAAAGAGAAACTTCGCTATATTTTACAGTCAGTCAATCATAAACAATTTCGGTTTCATTCCGATAATTTTAATGGAAAAGATGCTTCACGGAGTGGGTGGTCAATTGTCGAAAGTGTCGATAATATGATGGACATTGTCGAGTCCGACCGTCATGTTAGCGCTGTTTCTATTGCCCAAGAGCAAAAGATTGCTCAAAAGACTGGATTCGAAAATTAAAAATTAAAGCCTTCAATTTCATGCAAGCATAATGGATTTCTTTTTACTACACCTAATATAAATATATGTATATGCAAGTAAGTGTATATACTATAATTTATACATGTTTCATAGACCAAACAAGCAAAAAACGATGATCTGGGTTGATATTGAGTTAATATGTATGTATATGTATATATCTACACATATGTACGTGTAGAATTGGCGCTTTGTAACCTCTGAAACGATTTTGGGCAGAGCTCCTCCTGAATTTTTTTGGTTTGCGTCTTGATGTTTTTCCAATAAATGGAGGGACGAACAGTTCATGCTAAGCCGCCTCCGAACGGATGATGGTTTTTTTTTTATGAGGAGCTTTATTTAATGTCAGAAATACACTACCGAGTGGCAACCGCTGTACGCGTATATACATACATATATCTGCGCAGAGCAGAGGAAATTTTATTAACTTTACGGTATATTTGCCAAATGCCAACAAACCGAACAATTTCCCTAAAATAGTTTCAAGAAAATATGACAAGTTTTGAGCTAACCCAATAAGAATATTTGTGAGGTTTTCACTTGAGACAAATTTTGAATGTAGAATCATTTTAAAACCAAAATAATTCTTTAAAAAATTAAGTTTTTTACGAAACAAAAATTCTTTGTTCTAAAAATCATAGGATAATTGATAGTTCCCAATTTTAAAAGCCATTACCTGCTGGTAGAGGCAGAGGATGATGAAGACCTCAACTCTGTTGGAAGGATCAGGTGGAGAGAGACCTGGCTTCACTTGGTATTCGCAACTAGCACCAGACAGCGAAAAGAAGAGAGGAATGGTGTACTAATATTAAAAAAGACGTAAAGACTGTTACAAAATTACAAGCGCACAAGAGTTAGCCAATACATTGGGTTGCTCCAAAAGACAACGGCGATTTTTCATACAGACGGCGTTGACATTTTTTTTTGGAACAGCTTGTGACTATTTAATTGTATTTTATCTATTGGCAGTTATAAGTTATCACTTAGGCAGCGACGGTTGCTAAAAAGTTGCATAATTTGTATGGTGAGAAGGTCTTAAAAGAAACACAGTGTCGAAATTGGATCGTCAAACTCGAAGTTCGGGAGATTTTTCACTGAAATATAAGCCACGTTCAGGTTGTAAAGTGTATGACGACGATATGAAGGCTTTAATCGAATTGGATCATCACATATCTGAGCGTGAGATTAGAAAGAAGTTAAGTATATCAAACTTAATAATTTGGTACCACATGAATTGCAAGAAAATCATTTAACAAATGACCCGTTTTGAAGCAAATTATAACCAGAGATGAAAAATGGTTTGCTTACAATAACGTCAATCGAAAATGATCATGATCCAAGCTTAGCTGGGAACTTTTGATGCAAATATACCATCACTACAATTCAATAAACCAACAAGAACAAAAGGTTATATATGCAATAAAGATTTTCTAGATTTAGGATCTACAAGCCAGTATTCAAATGTTTTACATACCAAGTGGTTGGAGAAGAGTAAAAGTTCTTTTCTTAAGAAAACTGGAAAAAGGAACCCACGACTGTTCCGAGAAATTCAGACCCATAAGCTTTGCATCCTTCATGCTGAAGGTGCTGAATATTCCTTAGATCACTCCTAACAGGGGCTATTTCATCGGCAGCCCAACTTGCACACATATGGAGACGATCAACGGAAACTGCACTGCATAAAGTGATCAGTATAATAAAGAGTTCTTAGCAGGAACTGGGGCCTAAAACAAAATATTGTTATGCGGAAGTGTGGGGCCATTATCAAATCAGTTCAATTATTCTCAAAGATATTTTAGGTACGGAGAACACCATCTCAATATAGACCAATGAATCCAAAATGAATTGCTGTAGAAAAGATCTCTCAATGAGAAATTCGGAAAAAATATTTGTGTTCTTTGTATTTACTCACCTGTAAAATGGCACCGTAAGCTAATAAACCCTTTGGACATTTCCTATCTAAGCAAATAACCTCAGATAATCGATCGAACGCCTTTTGAGTGTCGTTGATTTTCAAACATAAAACCCCAATTTCGGTAAGTACTTCAACATTTTCAGGCGATAAACTGCCAAAGGGAAGAAAATTAAAAGACTTTACTTTCAATATGTTATGCTATAAATTTCGAAGTGAAATCACTGCTGAAATATTGAATTTTTTTTAATTTCATCCCAAGTATTTGCATGATTATGTACACGGACTTTGGCCATGAAATAATTGACGTTATATAATTTAAAATACTTCCACAGTATGAATGTCATTTCTGTCGCAATAATTACGTAATTTATGTATTTACAAATATACTTAAAAGCGCTGGCCACTTACAGCAAACAGTTCTCAAGCACTTCAATTGCCTTTGCATAGTCTTTCTCCTTGCGCAATATTTCTGCGAGCCGTTGAAAGCTTTCCAGTTTTTTACCAGATTGCACTGCCTTTTCAAAATACACCTTCGCTTCAGCTTCCTCGTGTCGGGCAACTGCTAATTGATTGGCCGCCGCCGCTGAGCGATGCAGAAGTTCTCCAATAAAATGACAAATTTCGTGATCCTGTCGCGGTGAAAGCTCTTCAGCTTCACGAAATAGATTTAACGCCTGATTGAAACTACCCATAATGAAACTGTAATAATAGTGTAAATAAAGAACGCAAAATGAGAAAATGTGAACACGCGAGAACGTGAAGATTACGGCATAAATGCTTTAATAGCAGTTTTTTATGGAGTTAAAACTTTAATTAAACACATTGTGAGTACCCCCCAAATCCATTGAAGATTATTTAACCTTGCCTCGTGAATTCCCCACAAACGGTGAATTGTCATGGCAATTTATAAAAAACTCAAAGTTGAGAGTGCAGTGATGATGGAAGCTTTATAATACTCACTATTCATGTATGAAATTTGCTCATTATTTCAATATACAACATTTCAGTGCGCATTTTAATATTTTCAATTCGCTTGAGTAGATATGTATCGATCAGTAAAAAATAAATTTTGGGCGGTTCAATAAACTGAATTTTGAATAAAAGCGCTTTCTGACCCAATTACCAATTACCCTTGATAGGTAAAAAAAAATCCATATTTTTAAAAACTTCATTTTTTTGTATGTACGAGTATGCAAAAGAATATTTGTATTTTTATCGCCTTATAAGGCAAATGTACTAGTCACCGGACGATTAATTTGTTTCCCCAACTTCATGCTCATTCTGCTTTCATTAATTTCCAAATTCCAATTTAGGATCTATAATTAATCATAAATCGGCTGAGAATAAATATTATAACGTTTTTTTTTTTTTTACAAAAGTCGTATTCTTCTAGTAAGCGAAAATCCTTTAATCAGAGACCCAATTAGAAGTAGTTTTTATTGAAAATTGTATTAGGTAAACTAAAAAGTTCGGTCGGTTTTTATCTAAGAGATGGCGTTATAGTGATACGTGTTTATTCGCGCTAAAAGTTTGCCTTTTACAGTTTTTCGATTGATTGCCTCAGTACGTTGTGAGCGTTCGCAAAGATGGACACCAGCAAAAAGAAAATTCGCTATATTTTACAATTTTTCTTCGATAAATGCGAAAAAGCAGCCAAAGCAGCTGAAAAAATTAATTTAGTTTATGGGCCCGATACTGTTAGCGAACGCGTAGCACAAAAGTGGTTTGCTTGGTTCCGTTCCGGTAATTTCGATGGCAAAGATGCACCACGCGTAGGAAGGCCTGTCGTCGATAAAATCATGGAAATAGTGCAAGGTTGCATAACCTTGGATTCAAAAAGAAGCTTGATGTTTGGCTGCCCCACGACAAACGCAAAAAACATGATGAACAGAATTTCCATCTGCGAATCGCTGCTGAATCGCAACAAAATCGACCGGTTGGTGAAACGGATTGTGACGAACGCAAACGATCGTGGTCAAAGCTCGGGGAAGCGGCCCAGATGGTGGCCAAGACCGGATTGAAAGGCAGGAAGGTTTTGCCGTGAATTTGGTGGAGTTGGCAAGAGATCATCTACTACGAGCTGCTGCCCTATAGCTAAACGCTCAATTCGGCCCTCTACTTCCAACAAATGGACCGCTGAAAGGGAGCACTCATCCAGAAGAGGCCATCTTTGTTCGATCAGGAAAACACCAGGCCACACACGTCTTTGGTAGCGCGCCAGAGGCGCCAGGAGCCCAATGCATTCACCTTATAGTCCGGACCTGGCATTAAGTGATAACCATGTTTTCCTGTCCATGGCAAACGCGCTGAATGGTGAGAAGTTGGCCTCAAGAGAGGCCTGTGAAAATTGGTTCTGAGTTTTTTGCCCATAGAGACGCAGATCTATGAGAGGGGTATAATGAAGTTGGCATCTCGTTAGCAACAAGTTTACGAACGAAACGGCGCCTATTTGACTTAAATCGGACAAATGTACACAAAGTTATCATCATTATTGAATCAATCAATATATATTTTTCAACGGGGGTCATGGTAGCCGAATGGCTAGCATTGCGTTCAGCCATTCGGATGGCCAGGGTTCGAGCTCTGGCCTATCCAACATCCAAGAATTATAGACTATTATAAAATTTGTTTACGACATGAAAGGGCACTTCATAAAAAACATCAGCCGTTTGGAGGTGTCCGTTCACTAGTACACTTACCCTATGTATAAATGTGTATCGCATGTACTTTCTGACGCACATTAAACGTTATATTTACATGTACTAAGCATACATACATATTAAATGCATTTATACTTACAGTGTTTTCCCAATCTCCTTGTAGGTTTCTATGCTTTTGGAATTTAAGTCGAGTGCCTTTTGTAGATTGCGTAGCGCTTCAATATTGTTACCCTCTTCACGGTCAATTAAACCCTGCGCATGTAAAAATTCATATATTGGTCAGCAGGAAATTGACATACATAGCAGACCAAATAGCCCGCAAATAAAAACATGTTCCATGATGTGTGGAGGAATCAGCTTTGAAAACATGAAGAAAAACTAGTTATTTTCTCTACATGCACAAAATTATATTAAAATTTTTAAATTGTTCAGCTTACTTCCCAGTTCTCTAGATAAGGCTCTAATTATAAGTGTAAATTTTTCGCAATAGTAGTTCTAATCCTTTGCTAAGCATCAGAGCATTAACGACTTATTGTCTTAGCGTGAGTAATTACAAGCATTAACAGCCTTGAATGCAGATTCTTAAAGATTTGTTCGAAATTATGATCATGGCTTTTTGTTAGACGCAAATGGCCTGGTCAATACCATTTAATGCTCTAAATTTTCTAGGAAACCTTTTTACTCAGAACTGCACACCCATCTTCGCTCGGATTTCTGGATGTTATTGTTAGATCCACTATTTCGCACTCGCCTGTTAAGTCAGGATCCGTTGGTTCGATCCCTGCCAGAAGAAGTCTGATGAGGATATGTGATGATCTGAGAAACAGCTGTCACTTCTATCATTTTTCTTTGATGTGTAGCAAAAATATTCAACTCAAATAGGCCTTTCGTTCATTAAACTTACGTGTATGACGAAAAGTTTTCTATTATTATTATTATAATTTTTTCGTAACTATTGGCAAATTTGTTATTGTTTTTTATTTTATCTTTATTCTTTCCCCACATACATAAAAAGTATGCCATTTTTGAATGACATTTTTGTACTTCGTAAGAACTTGAAGTTTTCAAAGTTTAGAAAACATAAATTGATTTCATTGTCAATTACTCATCGATTAGTTTGTTTATGATAGTTTATGTAAAAAAACAAGCACTTACACGTACATACATATGCATGTACGTAAATACAAGCATTACCTTCACAAAATACAAATATTCCGGATTTAAACTCCTATAAAGTTCCCGTTCGATGATGACGCGGCAAGACATGAAATCACGACGCGCATAATAAATATGAACCAACCAATCGATGTTTGTGCCAGCCGCCATTATCGGGACTTAAGTAAAATTAAGTGGAATTGAAATGAAAACTGGAAACTTCTACTTTAATTATTTTTCACCAAACCTGCTTTCACCACCTCCAGCGTGGGCAGCGTTATTACGTGCCCATTACATATAATCTCGTCCGCACCAGCCATGCAACTGAAGTTCAACCTAAAGTCAGAATTACGTGGAACTCAGTTAAGCACTCTTAACTTTTTTATAAATGTCCCCTTTTCGGTCAATTGAAAATATGTGTTAGTATTAAAGTCATTGGTCACTCTTTGCAATGTACACCTATGTATGTTAATTTGTTTGTGAAAAAAGTAACGAATTTTCGTTTATTTTCTTTTCACTTTAAACTTTTTTTCTATATTTTTCTACTTTTACTTCGTGTTAATATTACAGTAAAAACAAAACAAACAATGAATGGTGGCCATGGTTACCTCATTGGGAATGTCTGTGGCTGGTGTTATGGCTGCCCTCAAAATAAATTGCACTTAAATTGAGAATGTACAATTTTACATTTGGTGAAATTGTTGTGCTGTTCTTCCTTAATGCAAACTGAATAGCTTTGGCAGTAAAAAATTTGGGTTCTGGAATTAATATTTATTTTAAATAGCTTTAAAACGTTTGATAAGAGCGGTAATGAGGATTCCTCAAGGTCCGGTAGTAGCACTGAATGATTGACTGTGCCAAAAGCTTTTGACAGATCCAGTGCTACCAGGTCATTACGTCTCGTCGTGTTTGACAACGACTTGACTGTAGCCCAGAGCTTGGTTGCTCCAGAGGAAAGGTTACAGGCCCTTAAGTGTTCCTCCCACTTTTTAAGGTTATGGTTGTTAACAACTCTGCGTATCTCCGCGATTAAATCCCTGATTAGTAGATTAGAGGGATTGGAGTTTCAAAGGGTCGCAAAGTTTTGGTCGGCCGCAATTCGGCCTGTCGGGATGAAGCGGGCAGCAGTGAGAAGATTGTATTTACGTTCTCTGCTCTGCTGCACAATAAAGCAGAGAATCTATAATAACGAGAAGCAGCAAATTCATGGAACCACTTATAAGTTCTCTGACAACTTCTGAAAAATGGCGGGTAGGAAACCAGAGAAATCGTATGCAATTAATTGCTTTGCCTTTTCACCAAGGAAATTAATTACAAGATTGCTGAAAAGGAGTGTAAATCACTCCTTTTTAAATGTTTTATTTGCTACATTGCTTAAAACATTATAAATTATCTGATAAAGTGTTATCTTCCACTACCAAGGCCGCCCAAAGTAATTTTAAAAGCCGCCAAAGTCGTGAACCGTATTATTGCATAAACAAAAATGTGTTTAGCTGATACACTAACCTTTAACAAACGTTAAAGTCAATATACAACACTGCTACGAACAGCTGACGTTACATTTAAGCTACCTGACTTTTATTATAAAATTAAAAAATTTCATGGAAATATGTCCACAATTGAACGTTTCACTTTAGAACACATATTAGTAATTAATATACATTTTTTTAAATTAAAAACTCATTTAGAAGAAAAATTACTTTAATTCGTTATAACTTTTTCACTTCATACATTCATAAATTCCTTAACATCCGGCAAGGAAGCTGCTATTTGGTTGCTAGAGAAAAGTAAGCAAAAGTTAGTTTTACATATTGACAAATTAGAATTGTTTTGAAGAAATTTTACGTGAATAAAAGATTAGGAGCGAATGTATTGTGTAACTAAGAGAAGTATTAAAAAGTAAAAGCAAGTGAATTCATTAATTAGTGTTAAATAACTTACTGTAATGAAGTCAAACTGTAAGTTGTTAGCGAATATTGGAGACGTAGCTTTTTTCGTACTGGCTGTTGTGTCAACTATTTCTTCATTTAATTTTACAAAAACAAAGTTATTTTGAAAACAAATATCATTACCGATATTTGCGCGATAAATACGGAAAGTTCATTTTTTATTGCCTTATGCAAAGTACAAAGAGTTTTATTAAGCTAAATGTATTTTCTAAGATACATATGCTCAATATCATCAACTTTTGTAGTAGTTCCCCTCCAAATTGTGGTATGTGTCTTTATGTTCTTTCAACAAATGGAGGGACCTACAGGTTATACTAAGACGACTCCGAACGGTGGTTGATTGTGTTTTATGAAAAGGTTTCCATTTCGTGCCAGAAAACCAATCTGAGCTTACTTAATTTCTCATTCAAAAGGCATAAGCGCAGAATACCGAGCGTTAAGATAGAACAAAATGAATTAATTGTCGTGGTAATTTCTGACATATCTTTAATGTTCTTTTTAAGAATTTTTTGAAATAAAAACTTAGTAACAAAAAAATAATTTTTTTTTCATAGAAAAACTTGTTTTTCCTAAAATTTTATGTAAAAATCAATCTTAAAACATAATAAGTTGAAAATATCATAAAAATGCCTTTAATTTCATGTATATCCCTTTGTAGTCACTTCTCAATAGCGCGAAATTTTTCGTTTTAATTGTACTACTACTGTGCACTATCTTAACGGTCTGTATTCTGGACTTGTTCCCCCCGTTCAGGTCAACAGGTAACACTAACTCCTCCTGTTACTAGTTGCCCAGTTGGATATTGCCCTTATGTCGGTGCGCTACTCAGAGGCGAAAACCGTTTGGTTTTAGGCAACTTAAACGCCCAAATCTTTGGCATTCTAGCCCGTCAAATGACCGTAGAGAAAAGGATATGGCAGATGAGATAGATGATTAGACATTCTGCACAATGAACGATAACTCCTCCACCTTAGTTATGCGCAATTGAGAAAGATCGCCGAATATAACAATTGCGAGTACTGGTCTGATAAACAGTATAGTCGGGCGACCTATACTGACACTAGTATCTGACCCCTTACCCATACAAATCCCGATTGACAGGCCTCCCGACTTTGTTTCCGCGGATCACCAAACATTTGTCCACTTTAATAAAGCTGATTGGTTCGGTTTCACGGAATTCACCGTGAACGCCTTCAATGCTCTCCCCACTCTATCAGACGTCACTACTGATGAGCGTCATTTCCGCAAGGTCGCCATGACCGCTGCCGCCGTCTTCATCTTGGCAGGCCAAATTGCGAAAATCCGCCCAAAGCGCTACACCCCTTGAAACTCCGATCCTGGGAATCCACTAATCAGCGATTTAAACGCGGAGATTCACAGACTTCTTAACAACCATAAGCGGAAAATGTGGGACGAACACTTAAGGACCTGTAACCACTCCTCTGGGGCAACCAAGTTCTGGGCTACAGTCAAGTCGTTGTCTAAACCGACGAGACGCGATGACCGGGTGAAAATTTTATTCGGTGATCTAGCTTCGGCGGTCCCGAAGTGATGCGCGAGCCGACTTTTTACACTGCATCCTTCGGTAGATAAAACGAAGCGACGAGTAACCCGACGCGCAAACTGCCAAACACCGGCGCGGTGCTAGAATTCGCCAAGGAAGAGGTTCAGGGGGTCGGGAAGGCGAAAGCCTCCCGATCCATCGGCCCCGACGGATTAAGCATGCTAATGCTAAAACATATCGGACCAGCAGAAGCAGAATTTCTCACCAAGGTCCTCAACTTGTCTTTGACTACGCTAATGATACCTGACGGGGAAACCAGCCAACAAAGGAGAGTCTTATCAGCCGATAATATTTTGATCTATATATATTTTATGTAATTAAGAACAAAACAAACTTCACTATTAAATTGACCTTCACAGCAAAAATGACGCGGTAACAAAACAATTAATAAATTTAATTTTTTTTTTAACAAAACTAAATGTGTGTGTTAATTAATATTTAGTAGGATACTCCTTGCTATCTATGACTGATTTCATACGTTTGGGCATGGATTCCACTAACTTCTTCGTGTAGTCATGAGTAATATTGTTCCACTCTGTATGTAGGGCCTTTTTAAGTCGTTTTGATTTCGAATCTCTCGTTCCAAAACTGACCACAGATTCTCAATCACATTCAAATCTGGACACTGCGCTGGGTCTTAATTACATTTTTAATGAAGATACACTGAACTCATCAAAAAGTTCGTGTGAAAATAGCTGTGTTGGCCACTGTAATTAATCACCTTCCGTTGTTACACTCTTCATGCCAATGGGTATGTAGAATTATAAATAAAAGTAGTATATAAGAGGAAGTTTTTTTCATCCTTTATTGCGTTTACAATAACTACATGTGAATTTATTGCTTTAGAATGATTTGCACAATCGAGCATCGTCATCTGTTTGAATATATGAATATACTGCGTCAAAATGTTGAAAATGTCAATGAAACTCTTAATAATAAATTAAATTATTCTCCGTGTCAATTCAGGCAAAATTGATTTACATGAACTGAGCGATTTAAGAATAAACTCGATTTTCTCGAATAAATCGGTCGCAGGTCCACTTCCTTATCTGGTGCATACGTCTCAGGTATCCCCGATCAGTGGTTTAGGCAGTGGAATGATCCGATACATTCAAGAAAAAGCTTTTTATATATGTACTCGTATATAGATTATACTTTTAGTTTATTGGAATGGTGAAATTTTAAATACTTACCTGCATATGCGATGTTTATTAAATTATTTTTAAATCTATTCTTCTTTATATCCTTCAGTATAGCTTCCCATTGCAGTTGAAAAATAAAGTAAAGTATCACTAAGTTGGCGCCATAATAGCTGACTAATTAAGCCAATGAATTGAGGCGACCTACATTGTGAAGAATAAAAATCCGAATGTCGTTGAAAAGGAAACGCTACGACCTAAATTTGAAAATGAAGCTAAAATACTGGCATTTAAATGTAACTGGTTAACCAAGAAACGAAAACTAAATAATTTTCTGAAATAGTACGGAAAATAAAAAAATTTTGAATTTTCGCCAAATCCTATCATCATTAAGCGAAACACAAAGACTAAACTATCATAAGTATAATTTATGCTGGCCACAGCTGCCACACTTTAAAGTAGACAGCGCACTTAAGGCTGGTTGTATGAAGAAATTTGGGTCAAAAGTTGAAAATCTGTCTTTACAAACGTGCCCGCCGACATATACCCTCTACGCCGATTCGCTGACGCCAACGCAAACTCTTTTAATTTTGTGAAGACGAAAATGTTAAGCAAAACACAAAAGCTCATACTTGGTATCATAATATTGTTACTGGTCGATGTGATTTGGGTATCATCCAGTGAACTAACAAAGGTACGTTGTTATGATTAAAATATACAAATATATATACTTCATAAAGGGTGATTTTTTAAGAGCTATGGGAAAGGTTTCCAAAAAACACATAAAATTCAGAAAAATGCATGAAATCTTTATTTGAATCGATAGTACTGTCCACATAATATAGTGTTCGAAGATTATCTCATGCAAATGTTCACCGTGACTACGCCTCAAATGGTCCATCCGCCTATTCCGATTTTGGCATTCTCTTTCCAACATTTCGGCAGGTATCTCACGAATAAATGCTTCAATGTTGTCCTCGAATGCGTCAATAGCCCCACAAAAAATAGTCTAAAGGCGTTAAGGCGGCAGGTTGTTCGGCTTTAATTCTTGCACCAGCTGTATTTTGAAAGGCTTCGCACTTAAATCCTTCCGCAAAGTTTTAAAAGTTGTTGGAAACGGCGACGAATCGATAATTGATAGTCATATTTAACTTTAACATTTGTAACTTTTTATTTTCAACTTTTCAGTTTATGTTACTGAATTTTCAATTTCAAATATTTTCATTTTCTGGATTATTATAATTTTCATTTTAAATCACACAAGAATTTATAAATAAATTTTATTAAAAAATAAAAGATAATCTTCGTTAATATAGTATATGTATATAGATTAATTTAATGTATCTATAGTCATAATTAACACTGTCCGATACAGCTGCGATATTTTCTCCAGTTCGCACTCTACGTAAGCGTGTTGGTGGCTTAATGTCCAACAATCTAAAATTGGTGCGAATTTTAGTTGTTGTTGTTGTTCTAACCGCAAATTATTCCCCGAATTGGTTTTCGGAGAATATTGCGGGAGTGACAGTCCTTGGCAGGATAAAAACCCGGGTCGTTACGGTATAAAGACCCGACTGTCGCGGGAACTATTGCCTTACCACGAGTAAATTCTTGAGCCCCAAACCCGCAGGGGTAGTGAATTTTATTCGCAATAGCCCGAATAGCCGCTTCAGTGGGTCGATTAAACTGACCATAAAATGGAAGAAGCGCGCGACGAACTTTCTTAACAGAGCACGCATTTTATTAACAAAATTCAATAATTTACAAGCGTTGTTCGTTTGTAAGATTATAGACCAAACTGAAGATGTTTGACAGTAATACAAGACACGAAACGTGCGTCAGTTGCTTCAACTAGTGTGCCAAAAAGATAATAGCTAAAAATCACCCTTTATATATGTAAGTATGGATATGTAATTATTGTCACGATTTTACTTTCAGTTTCTTTACCAAAATGAAAAATTCGACAAGCCGTTTTTTTGTACTTTTTTCAAAACTTCAATGTTTGCAATCTATTTGGTTGTGATCGGATTGGTGACACCATGGCGAGAGTCTTGTGAGCGCCAAAATGGCAATTACTCGGTAAGTATGACGTAAATCTAACAAGAAGTTCAAATAAAGGGGAACAGCAATATTAATCGCTCAATTAATTTTGCAATCAATGAAATCCAAGATAAGATCGAAGACCTAATTGAATTTATTAGGCAATAGTGAACTCTTTAAGTATATAGGAAACGAAGCTAAACAAGAGGTCCAGGAAACGAACTGTTTTGGGGGGCTAGCACCTGAGGGAGAGAAGGTTAGATGAGTTGCATACGACTGCAATTGACGCAACAAAATCCTCAAAGCGTTAGCCGGCAGCACCTGTAGAAAAGAAGGCAATTGGCTGGCTGGCCGTAACCTATGCTGCACGTTTCCGGGCGCCGAGGACCAGCGAGACGCAGCTAAAGAAGTTACAAGCCTGTCAAAATATTTATGTCGCCAGAGCATCACTTACACAGCTAACCATCTATGCTACGAGCTAAGCTTAGCACAGTACAATCGTTGAACAGGAGAGCGTGCAGGCAAGCATTAAACGCCATTCAACAAGAGTTCATCAACACCTTCATGAACTCTCTACTGTGAATGGCGTTCTCAGGTCTGGATATTGTACTAGATTAAACTCCTATTTATCCAGACTCAACCCTATACATATATATACCTCACGTATGCTCCGCATGCAATCAGTCCCCGCATGACACTAATCACCTCTTTGCATCCCTCCAATCCTCTGGTTATTCATACTATATAAAAGATGCGTTTGTAGCGCGAATACAATGATCAGTGCGATGACCTAGTCGATGCTCCATAATGCTATAGGACAATTAATAAACAAACCTCTATTATAGTTGGATCTGGGATCAATAGCTCTTTTGACTGGGATTAATCGAGACTTAAAGTCAAAATGAAATGACTTCAATTATATTGATATTATATTAATTGATAATGGTGTAAGCGTCATGCAATCGCACACAGGAATATATAAAAATTCGTAAACGCACGTTTAGGCTGATATTGCTGGGCATCGATAGGTAAAGAAAGAATCCTAAAAAAGAACAACAGTATCAAATGAAAGCTTCCAAATTTGATGAGGACCTCGATGCAACGAGCGAGATTATTTTCCTCCAATTCGATAGACTTACAGTTATTTGTTTATTTTGAAACCTATTTTTTTAATTTATAGATTTTTTTTTGTATTTATTTGTATTCATTGATTTTCATAAACATATGTATATCTGTATATGCTTGAAAATTGTCCGCTCTACGACTCTTCAAAGTAGTCCCCTTGGGCAGCTATACAACGATTCCTGCGCGTTTCCATGCTTCGTAACATTTTTGGAACGCTTCGGCTGGGATGTCCGCGAGTACTCTCGTCACGGCCGCCTAGATGTCCTCAATCGACTCAAAATGGATTCCTTTGAGCACCGGTTTTGTTCTAGAGACCAAAAGAAAGTCAGGGTGACATATCGGGCGAATAAGGCGAGCTTGTTGCAACACGACGGTGTGGCACGACGCGTTTTCGTGATGAAGGATCCATTTACGAGCGATGACTGGGCGCACCCTGTTGACTCGTTTTCGCAATCTTTCGAATACTTAGCGATAGACTTGATGTACAGTTTGCCTCGGTGGAAGAAATTTTTTGTGGGTTATTCCACGGCTATCAAAAAAGGCCATAAGCATTGTTTTCACCTCTGACTTGTTCATGCGAGTTTTTTTCTGGCGGGGGTCGTGCCGTGCAACGGAGCACTATCACCATGCCCTTTTCAATAAGCGTACGTTTCCGAAGCTGGTTCGCCCAATTGGGGGCAAAGTTTTATCGCGATGCGTTGCTCTTGATTTCATTTTTCATTTTCGTGACGAGTACCACGAGCACGTTTACTCAAAACGACACAGCAGGCGAACTAGAGCGATGGCAAATATATCAATGAGGTTGGAAAAAAATGCCGGGAGAAGGGAAAGGGAATTTCAAAGACGAAGAGTTACCACAATCTTGCCAATATATTCAGTCTCATTAATTTATTGTTACACTTCGTATATATATACGAGAGGATTATCAAAAGTACGGTAAGTTGAACAATATTATTCATAGTCTATATTGTTTTTTACCTTCTCTACATAATCGCCATTGATTTCCATGCTTCTCTTATGCCTATATTTTTCAAAACCTTGCTTTTTAAGCTTATCAAGTTCAGTAATATCCGCATCAATTATCTCCTCGTTGCTATTAAAGACATTCCCTTTTAAACTTTTTTCTTTAATTTTTGGATCGAGTTTGGATAGAGATGGCCGTAAAATTGCCCGTTACTTCAGCAGTGGAGCCATTGCCTTGATGTAAAAAGTAGCGCTGCAAATCCTCTTGAAAACTTTTGGTAAGCACTCTTCTGTGTACCATTTTGCCGTTACCGGCCGACTCTTTTCCAGTGGAATAGCAGCTACGATTTTAGATCGGGTGATTAAACTGGCATCATTACGTTTGCTGCTGATTTTTGTTGCTTAGATTTTACGGGTGTGTTTGCTCCTGCTGAGCTCCATACCATGTTCTGCTGTTCAGTTTCTGGATCGTACTTATAGAACCAAGATTCGTCACCAGCATCGACATCACTAAAGTTGGTGGACTGGTCATTTTCGAATTTGTTTAAGAAGAATTGAACGAAATTCACTGGAAACTTCTTTTGGGCCTCATTTTAAATTTATGCAGATTTCTTTATTTGTGCCAGATGATTCACTTAATACTCGCGATACGGCCATGGCATTCAAGCTTAATTCATCCTCTACGGAAAAATGTCCGGTCTGGAACCTTCGGAGCTACTTAAAAATAGTCTTTAATGGCGGTGCAATCGTTTTTTTCCAAACAAATTTATACATCAGCAAAAAAAATTTTCTGCTTGCTCGACACAATTTATAATCCTTCGCTTCTTATCAAGAAAATAAAATTTGTCTTCCTAGGTTATGGATCAAGCAGTGGATGATGAGAGTTACTACGTTACTAATCCTTCACTGGTAAGTACCAAAGCAATATAATTTCTTCCCTTTGATTAAAAGAGCTTCTATCTCGAATTTTCAGAGCGATCCCACGTTTATTCCTATACGTTCGAGTGGTGCTATATCTGGCACGGAAAGTGATGACTCCAGTATACGCAGTGTGCGTTTCAGCAAGATGGCTGAAGTACGAGAAATGTCAGCCCATGAGGCTACAGAGGCGTTAATGGCGCGCCTTTCATATGCAGCAAGCATACGCCTGCATAGACAAAAGTCTCATCATAAAACCGCAAAGACAGCATTACTGTTTTGTGTACTGGTAAATATTGCCACTTTTAAATGGTTGTTTGGTGTGAAAAGAAAAATCATTATCCCATTGCAGTGGTTTGCTGCAAATTATTTTTTCCAATTAGCACTGGAGATGGGTGAAACCGCAATGGTCACATTGCTAAGCTCTTCATCCTCTTTCTTCACGCTCGTACTAGCAGCTTACTTCCCTTCTTCTATAGGGGATAAGTTTACCATAACCAAAATCATTGCAGTCGCTATGAATATTGGTGGAATTGTAAGTAAATTATTCCCAACTATTAAATGTTTTTAGAGCTTTGTTTTAGGTTACAGTCACTATCTCCGACATCCACGATACACAATTTTCGCGTGGTGCATTATTAGCGCTATTCAGCGCTTTTTTCTATGCTGCTTATTTAGTATTTGTGAAAAGAAAAAGCGATACAGAGGAAAAGGTTGACATTCCATTATTTTTTGGTAAATAAAGTAACATTATAACTTCAATATTGTAATTATGTTTTATTAATATATATATATATATATATCTAAATATTCTTACAGGTTTCGTGGGGCTTTGGAATCTTTTACTTATGTGGCCGATATTCTTCATTCTGCATTTTCTAAAAATTGAACAATGTGAGCTCCCAAATGAGAATCAATTTGCTATATTATTTCTAAACGGATTGGTCGGTACTGTGATCTCAGAAGCACTTTGGTTATGGTGAGCTTACAAAATATCTTGTTACAAATATATTAATATAATATGTTTTCACCATAACAGGGGCTGCTTTCTCACCTCTTCACTGATTGGCACAATTGCTATGTCGCTACAAATACCATTATCCATTTTATTTGATATCGCCTTGAAACGGAAACCATACTCTCCAATGTTTTATATGGGTTCAATACCTATATTTTTTTCACTGTTATTGGTGGCAATATTAATGCGCAACGATGACTCTGATCCACTAATGAGGCTATTTAAGGTTATGTACAGAAATCTGTGTCGTTGCCGAAAGCCAAATATAGTCAGGTGGGTGAAGATAATTCTAAAAGTAATTTTTTGTATGTGCTTTTGGAAAAGTAATAAAAAAACTATAGTTTCTTAATATAATTTTATTATTCTGATACCTTTTTCTTATTGTAAACTGACTTCCTGCGGTGAATATGAGAACGAGAAAATAGGCAAGCGAACAATTTAACTGAATATTAAAGACTGCATTATGGAGATATCTTTATTTTTTCTTTCATTGCAATATAAGAAATGTGCCACGCTTTCCTTATTTCCGCATTCCGCATTTTAGTTTACAGTAACAAAATATATACAACAGTTGCCCAGAAAGTAAAATACGTGTAAAAACTGTTAATTTTTGATATTTTTCAACCCTGAATGTCTGGATATGTATGTAAATGTTAACGTAATTTTTCTCTTGCATTATTTAAGAATAAACGACGAGGAACAGCAAGAATCGCTAATTGGCAGCAATGACTGAACTATCTTCCAATAATTACATATGCTCACATAAACAAGTAAATAGTATATGCAAACGTAGAATCCCTGTTAATACACTTCTAAAGCAAAAAAGAAAGTTTTATGAAAACGCTTTTATTCTATTATACATAGCTAAAAATGTAACACATCAAAACTATGGCTGTATATCTTCGAGTCTTCGATTCGAATTTATATTTATGGAGAAAAATGTAAATCGCACAAATTAAATTAAACTCTCCTACTTTTATAGGATATCTAATGTGTATATGTGTGTCCACCATGATGTTTTATTTTAATTTGCGTTTATAGGTTAGATGGAAAAAATAATTCCGCTGCAAATAAACCTTTTACTAATTGTGATATTACTGAAATTCTAATATTTGTAATTTCACTGTACTCAAAATTTGTTTTTTTTTTTAATATGTATAGTATTTATAAGGTAAATAAAGCCACTTTTACTTTTAATACATAATAGTTTTCAATTTTAACAGCTTTTGCTAATTTACAAAAATTAAATATTTATGTTGTACAGTAATTAAGTTCCCTCCTAGTAATCTCATTACGTAAACATAAAAAGTAAAGAATTTTTAAGTGTATTTATACTGTGAATAGTCTTAGCTTGTTATAAAATGTAAAATATTTACAAAAGTTTTCATGTATAGCCAACAATATAAAATAAAATTATTCAGAAAATAATTCTAATAGTAAACTGAGATGTTAAGAAACTAATAATGCTTATGTGTTTTACTTTGATAATCAAAAAATTAAAAATCCTTTCTATAACATTCTTTAGAATTCCCGAACCGTCCTTCTCTAAGCGGCAAATCTGATGGACATACGGTACATTAGTTCTAAGATTAATTTTAAAAAAAGCAACAATAATTGTCATTTCTTAACATTTAAAAAAAGAATTGTTGCTCCCAGGCGAATACTTCTAAGACTTCTGTACTAAGAATGTGAAGGTGGCCCCAGAATGCAATCTACCTTGAACCCTCTCGATGAACCTAACTTCTACCTAGATGATCTTTGTCTGACTTCCTATCTTCTTCTTTACTGGCGTAGGAGTAGATTACCGTATCTTGCACAAGGGTTACTAAGGCTTCCAGGATGCAAGACGTGGGCGCAAGTGTAAGAATTGAGTACGCAGTCACAGTCGCAGAATTATACTAAATTATTACTATTGTGGGACTCGCCAAGTAGAAACCAAATCCAATGAACAAGAGACAACTAAAGTTAACTGTTGACCCAAAACCGGGTTAGGTCGCCGAAAGGGTGGCAGCCCTTGGCCGAATAAAATCCGGGTTAACTCCTGTGCGTAGAACCGGCTGTCGTGAGAGTTGCTACCTGCTTCTACCCTGACACAACTCAGGTCTGGATATTGTAGCAGGTTAAACTCTTACTTATCCAGACTAGACCCCAGCATACCCAACGTATGCTCTGCATGTGGAGAGTCTCCGCACGACACTAACCACCTCTTCACATGCCCTCTCAAACCAACTCATCTAACCCCCCTCTCCCTTTGGTCCAACCCCGTCGAAACAGCTCGTTTCCTGGACCTACCATTAGATGACCTCGGCGACTTAGAGTGATCAAACCTGTGCCTAAGCGTGGTTAGTGAACCGCTACAACAACAACAACAACAAGAGACATTTAGTCTGAACTGAGCTGGTAGAGTGAAAGAACCAAAACTCTCTCTCTCTCTCTCTCTCTCTCTCTCTCTCTCTCTCTCTCTCTCTCTCTCTCTTTCTCTCTGCCACAATCGTATTTGGAGTACAAGCACGCACGAAGAAGTAATTTTCTGTCCCGATTCCTGATTTCCAGGATATTCTTAAATTAAATAGCGTAGCTCTATGAATTTGGATTGCACATTAGGGTATCCCGTCAAAGTATGAAAAAAAACTTATTTGTCCTGTTTTATTGCAAGAGGTATAAAAATTTGCGTACAGATTACAGAACTAAAAAAAAAAAAATACATTTAAGAATCATCTTGAGGACTCCACCAGTCTTCGAAGTTTTGAAAATTTAACATATATCAGGTGTCTCTGTATGTAAATAAAAAAAATATGCAAACTTCATTTAAAAATACTATTTTTCCTGTAGAAATAAGAAAAAATAGTAAAAGAATCGATTAAAAAAATTAAAAAGAAATAATTTTTCATGCTTTGAACTTATTTTTTGAGTCAACCAATCTCTTCGGTGGGGACTCCGTTGTGGGATGTCTTACTGAGGAAAAACATTGCTTTTTTCAAGGCAACACACTTTTTTGCGGACCTCGTTGAATTTTCCATTTGTTCCATTTTCATATTGTCTTTTTATTAATCTTAGAGTTTTTTTTTATCCACACCGCCTATAATCATTTTCCGGTCACTTCCTTGATCCGCCAAAAGATCTTCCCTCATTAACTGGAACTTTATGAGATTTTGCACACGAGCAAGATCCCATAAATAGCATTTGCAAGCGGGGCCATCTAAAAGTTTCTCAGACAGTTGAAAAGACACTGAAGTTTTCCTCCAAAACTATCATTTTGTTTACTCTTGGAATATCTTTTAAAATTAAGGTATTTGAATTTATTTAAATGAAAATTGAAGCTTTAGTCAAAATATTTTTTTCTTGAAACAATTGAAAATACCTCTGAATTAGACGGATCCGTGTATTTCAATTTTAAGTCGTTCTTGACAAATAAAATAAATTTCTTAACTTCTCGTATAGTGGGTAACTGACGATCGTCAAATTCTTTGAATGGTGGTATTATAAGACAATTTAAAATAAATTACTTCAGAAAGCTCAGAATACTATAAAAGTAAAAGTAGTAACCTTAGTTACATGCAAATAACAGAAAGTGATCGAAAACATGAGGAACAGAATAAATAGAGGTCGGTGTTAACAAAAAAATTAAAATGTAGTGTTATTATATTATCCGAGTGATACATGAAGCTGGTTTTTAAACGATAGTTTTGATCGAAACTCGAAATTAATTATGACAAAAATATCCCTTTAGGGGCCAATTTCCCAAGTCTTTGAAGAGCGGTAGAATCCTGTAAGATGTTTTTTAAATTCCTGAGATGATAGATAGTGATAATAGAAGAATAGGCAAATTTTGAGGGCTGTTGCATTAAAAACACTGAAACAAAATTTTCTTAGGACACTCTAATCCCACATTACAAATTTTGTTTCTGATTATGGATAATTTCTCCCTTGGTGTTGTCATCAGAGAACGTAAATACAACGTTACGTTCTTTGTATTTACGTTCTCTAGTGGAAACGCTGTATAAGAGTACAAAACGAGTTGGCCATGTATAAGCAACTTGGTAGGCTACTCCTTTCGTGGTCACCCCAAGTTGACGCAATAAAATTGCTTGACTTATCGAGTAGTTGGAATATTCCCGTAGGTCAATATTACAACGCGTCTACACGGTTAGCAAGTGCAATTTTCACACATTTTCCAGTCGGTAATAAAATTTTGGAAGTGTGACCACCCTGGGAATAGTTTCTGCAATTAAATTGCTGAAATAAAAATTCAAGTGTCAGTCACAACTAACAGTAATTTTTATTTCTTTGTTTGAAATTATTATCAAAGAATTTGAGTTTTGGAGAAAAAGAGTTTTGATAAATTATTATGAAATAAACTAATGCCACGTGTGACTGCTCTTGAAATTAAATCTCGAAATTTGTCAGTTTGAAATGCGATTTGTAATTGCATCTGACGGGACCTTTTTTCCCTACAATACCACAATGTAAATGATAATGATTAATAAGAGATACATTTTTCTTAGTGGCTAATGTATGAAACTAGCCACGGAAACAAAAAAATATATTGTTTATCAGTTATTCTTCTTGATTCCTCTTTGAACAACTTTTATAACGCGTCTGCCGACGTGTCGTTTCCCTATTCCACGAGCACGAAGAAATAATCTCAACCCGATGCAGGTATGTATGTATATGTGTATTTATATACATAAATATGTATACATATATTTATGCATACATTTAAATAAGTTATTGGGCGTGAGTGTATGCTTGCTATACACCTATTACATATGTATTTACATGTTTGTATGTTTATAGATGCATATTTCCCACCAAGCATACTCCTCAGTCAAGAAGCAAGGGCAGAAAGAGTGGCAGTAGTAGTGGTGGCTATTGACATCAGCTGCCTGATCATTTAAACGCCAACTTCTGACGGCATCGGTGGTGTTTTTGGATACAAGAGAAAATAAAAATTCAAATCAGTGAACACCTTTCTACTTTGTGATTAAAGTGGAAACCACAATATGAAGCTTTATTTAGGATTGTGTTTAGTGGCACTTGTAGCCGGCATTGCAAAGGCTGACGAAAGCAAGGGACCTAAAGTGACCGACAAGGTACGTGTAATAAAAAAGTTGATTTTCCACCATCATACATGTCATATGTATGTGATTTTGTTGTTTTGTTGTTTTATTAGATTTGGTACAGTTCTAGAGAAATTATGCTCTTGTTGCCCTCTCGTGGCATACTCTCTTTATTTTGCTCATATTTCATTATATATTTGCCGTGCAGTCCTCCCACAATTTTATTGTTCCTGTTTGCATTTCATGGTACATATGTATATTTATATTTTCACACCAAATGTTTTATTTTTTAGGTTTATTTTGACATAACTATTGGTGGTGAGCCAGCTGGACGTATTGAGATCGGTCTCTTTGGCAAAACAGTTGAAAAGACAGCGCGTAATTTCAAAGAACTAGCAGAGAAACCAGAAGGCGAAGGGTAAGTGCCTCCAAATATGACTATATAGCCACACACACACACATATCAAACTGCATAATCAATGTCTCATTTTCATTTTATAAAGTAATATTTTGATTCTGTTGATGATTGCTCTCAAATGAATAGCTTAATTTTTTTTTTTTTTTTTTACTAAGCCTGGTTTTACTTATTCTCAACGTCAACTTCATTGGTGCGGCATATAAGAACGGGGGTGTAATTTTTTGCACATTTCTGTAATAAGCAAACATACATATGTATGTAAGTACATATGAAAAATCTGGAATCCTGGTGCCGTACTGACATTAGAATTAGAATTAGCATAGAAAATTAATTAACATAAAAAACTAAGCTAACCGCGGCCCCCCTAGGCAGGGAAGGTCAACCCCTCTGAGTGTATTTCTTTCATGAAATAAAGCTCGGCCGGTCAGAGGCGGCGCATTATAAGCTGTATGTCCCTCCATTTATTGGAAAAACATTATGACGCAAAACCACAAATTGATTAAGATTTGACTTAATTCTTCCTTAGCTACTTATTATGCGAAACTTTTTGCTATGAATCAGACGGAGCTGTCGATGGAAGAGTGTTTTCTCTCACATTGAGGTCAAACAAATATAAACTCCAACTATGCTAATAAGAAACTCAAATTATTCACTTAACAAAATTAGAGCCGTTGAGTAGTTGTGTGTGGGTAACTACTAGCTAATTGGCTGAGATAAGCGAATATGGTGTGATGCTGGGCACGCATACAAATAGGACATTACTGATGTTTTTAAACAATAATTGAACGCTGAATTGAATAAATGTTTATAATATGTTATGCACAATGAACACTATGGTACTAAAAATATAAAAAAACGCCAAGGGAAATTACCCGGCCATTGGGTCAGCCGAGCTAGCTATTGTCATGACATAAACTATGTATGTATATATGTATGTACATACAACATAAGTACTATATTAGTTTCATTGGTATTTTAGTAAATGTGATGAATCAAACAAAGAACAAGGGAATCAAATGTTTTGTGAAATTGTGTTGTGTATAAATATTTAATTATTTGAGTATGCATGCCTTCAGGTCTTGTTTTCGATTACTGCATGCCTGTATATGCCGGCTTTTATAAAAAGTTTCATGTAATATTTATATTGACTCCCATTCTTACTTTCCATTATCTTTATAGGTACAAGGGCAGCAAATTCCACCGTGTCATCAAAGATTTTATGATTCAGGGTGGCGATTTCACCAAAGGTGATGGCACTGGCGGGCGTTCCATCTATGGTGAACGTTTTGCAGACGAAAACTTCAAGCTGAAGCATTATGGTGCTGGTTGGTTGAGCATGGCCAACGCTGGCAAAGATACCAATGGTTCACAGTTCTTCATTACCACCAAGCCAACTTCTTGGTTAGATGGACGGCATGTTGTGTTTGGCAAAGTTTTGTCCGGCATGAATGTTGTGCGCAAAATTGAGAGCAGCGAAACAGATGGTCGTGATCGGCCAGTTAAGGATGTTGTAATTGCCAGTTGCGGTTCGATTCCAGTAGATGAGCCATTTTCTGTGTCGAAAACTGATGCAACAGATTAAGAGATTTTCACAAACTGTGCAGGGGTACAAGCTTGCTTAAGGGCAAGCACATGTAAATGAGGGAAGAGCTGAGACCCGTAAAAGTAGTTGGTGAAATAAAAATGTTAACATTTGCATATTGCGAAAATTGAAAATATATACAATTACAGAGATTAAAAGCAATTTTATTAGTGTTATCACAAATGAAAAAAAAGTTGAAAAGTTTAAATGTTTATAGAATACAATAAAACTCACAATTTCCAAATTTCTATGCACTACTTCATGTATATGCCAAAAAAAAAACTTCGCAATAGCTTGTGATTCCTTATTTCATTAAAAAATGAAACATTGCATTTAATACATTGTACTAACATTTGATAATTCATCAACATAATTAAATTTAAAAAAATACATATACAATATAATAAAACATGGTATTTATTTGCAAAAAAAAAGAAACGGATGGAGAAAGTCAGACTTCGTTTTTATATCTCAATAGCTTTTGCGCTATTAAATTAGTTTATACGCAGCTCCAAAGCCAGCCTTCTCCTAATTATTTGGCTCATAAGCCAACAGTTCAATGCACCCACAACAACGCTCGCTGCATGCTGCAGAGTCAAAGGTAAGATTTTTGTAAGCCATAAGTAGTCATATTTTCTAGCGGCGTCGCGTGACTGCTTATACCAGATTAACCAGTCTTATGAAGGGCATATAGGTAACCAGTTTTGCTCTTCGTTTCTTTTCAGTGAAGTTTTATAGCTTTAAAGTTGTTCTTGAGGCATCTCTTTGCAGTATTAACGTATAACAGAATGGCCCAAAAATGTTTGTATGTTCAGTATGTTGCTTTAGAAAGACCGATTTGCATTATGATAATTGTTTATTTATAAACTTAGAAAGCTAAATAATTTCTCCTACATCGATCAAAATATAAATATATATATGATGCTAATGAATAACGAATATAGATGTGTTTTCGGCAGGTTATAACATGTTGTATGTCTGCTCTAAATATTTTACACTTATGACCTTTCAAAGTATTCAGCAAGTATGCTTGTAGGTATGTACACATATATAAGCTGTCCGAAAAACTTTCAGATCCTCCATTAAATGTCAAACAACAGTTTTAATTTTTGTTTATTTCCATTTTTACTCAATGATTATCGCAAAACCTTAAATGAGTAAGTGTATTTAATAATTTTTTAAATATATGTAGATGTAGCTACATACATATGAGTATACATCAGCTGCTTTCGAATTTAAATTTCGTGTTTGGAAATACACTTTTCCGTCGTGGAAATATGTGGGTATGAGTTTATTGCTTTACTTGCATTTAATCTCATATTTAGGTTTCTTTTATTTATTTTAATTAATTGGTATTTCTTATGGTTTCTTTTACATTTTGCTTTTAATAATATGCAACACGAATGAATAACTATTTGTATTAAATTATCAATTAATTTAGTTGAGTGTATATGTATGTATGTATGTATATGGTTAACATTTTGCTATACGTATTTTTTTTATTTCTTTATGCATAATTTTGATTTGCAATAAAACTTTTATTTGATCGCTTTCATTTTCAATGAGTATTCAATTTTTATTTTTAAAGTCTTAAAAGTTTAATTGCTCTTACTATTTTTAATATTTAACTTTCAATTTATTTAAAGGGTTGCTTTTGTATTTTTCATAATTCAACATTATTCAATCAACTTTACTACTTAGTAGTCTAATTATTATTTACATTATTCACACTTAATAATGTCAAAATATTTTACATTCCATGATTTTTTAATTAATTATTTTCAATCTCTAATGACTTTTATAGCTTTTTATTTATTTGTAATACTTTTTTCATAAGCATTGCTTATATGATTTTCTTTTGTTACTTTCAGTTTTTCTATTAACTTTTCCTCATGTTAATCTTATATTTAATGACTTTCCATAACACCTAAACTTTTACTTATTTTTTGTACTGTTACAATTTATTTAATTTAACATTTTCATGCTTTAATGCCGTTTTGTTTTAATTACAAACTTTGGTTTCTGATATGACTTCGTTTCGTAATGAGTATAACTGCTTTTTTTTAATTTCATTTAATGTTTTTATTACTTGCTTCGTTTTCGTTTAAATATTCTGAAACTTATAAAGATTTGAATAAACTACAAATTCAAATTGTTAGCTCGAAACTTAATTACATGTCTTTGTATTAACAATGAATGATTTTCAAATATTTTTTTATATGTTCAGGGTGTAGAAAATTTTTATTAAACACTGTCAATTATTTTTTTCCTAACTTTTTTATCGTTAACTTAATCTTTTTACATCTTTCATAATGGATTATAAACTGTTGTAAGTCTATTATTGTAACCTTTTGAATGGAGAGACGAGAAAATCTTTATAATCATCATAAGTTTTTTTATTTATTATTATTTTTTTTGTTGGAGAGTGCTAAAAGACAGACTATCAAAGTTGTATAATTCCCATTTGTTCCCATTTGTGTTTGTATACATTTTTCAAATAATGTTTTGAATATTTCAGCTGGCATATACATAGATTTTGGGGTTTGCAATACAAATGGAGGAATTTGTTTAAAGCCTAGCAACTTAAGTGAAAATGAAATTAACAAAATTAGTTATTAATTTTTGAAAAGAAAATCTCTACCTAAATTGGGAAAGAAGTTGGTTATACGAAAAAGATAAGAAAAATGGATTTAAAGCAAATAATCTAGTTTTAAGTTATAACTAAACTGCTCCTCAGAATAGGTTGCATTGTGTTAAAAGTGTCCAAAGAATTTATAACAATTGATTGAAATCTCAAATCTATCGTTTTGCTGTTATAATCAAGGAATCTATGTGCAAACCGTTCACAAGATAAGCTCTGGAGATAAATCGGATGACTTACCCTCTTTAAACTGACTGGGTACTCACAAATAAGCAAAATAACTTTAGATTTTAATTTGAATATGAGAAACGATTAAATATGTGTTTTATAGTGACATGGGAGAAGAAAATGCAATTCCTCACTCTAACAAGGGCGGTGGCATTAGCATTAGAGGAATTTCTTCTCCAAATTAAACAGGGGCACGTAAATAAGTATACTTGTTCAGGCTATGATTTTATCTTTATGATATCAAAGTGGTGTAGCAATTGCTATAGATATGAAAAAGTGAACATAAGTAATTTTCTTTCAATTACTGGAGTGGTACCGACATTTTTTCAAACACTGATATAAGTGTCAAACTTAATTATAACATTCATTTATTAATTTATGCGTTTTGTATTGCTAATATAGATAAGTATAAAAGATTTTCCTACATTTAAAAACAAGCATCTTTTTGCAATTCATAAAAAGTGTACTTATTGTCGTTATATATACATACTGAAGTATATATATATTACTTACATATACTATATACGTGTATAACCGTGCTTTATTATTAATAAATTTTTTACAAAATGGTGTTTTCTGTTATTATTCTTCTATATTTTTAATGCAATGAATTTAAACGAATGATTGAAAGTCCTTGACGCAAGTTTGGCGGAAGTACTTTTTAATAAGGAGTGTTGCTGCAACGTTTTTAAGTAACCACATCGAAAAAAGCAAATTTTCTAACTTTTATTGAAATGAAGTTCTGTTAGCTCACTTAAAATTATATTTTTTTCTATATTTTCATGCTCATGTCTTTATGTTTGGTTTCACAATATTTTATATATATATAAATTTACACTCACAAATGCATATATACATTAAATGCTCTTTCGCACTCATTCACATCTGTTTGTTAGTATCTAAACAAAAAAATTAAATGTAAACTGGCTCAGCTTATGTTTGTATATACACAACTTTTTAGCATTGATTCGTTGATCGCAATTTCAATTACGAAATATGAACGACACACGTCATACTACCCAAATATTTATCACTGATTATGCAGTTATTTAATAATATCACTTAATTGACGAGTGTATGGTTGTTCCTTAATTCACTATTACAGATTTTACTATTTCTTTGAATTTGTTTTTATTGTACCGGTTTTCAACAATTTTTTTTATGCTTATGCTTGTATGCAAGAATGAGATTTGAAGATTTCATCAGAGGGTAAGATTGCATTTTTCAGCTATCCTTGGTTCTATTTTATCATTAATTGGTTTTGTTTTTAATTTAATTTCATTTCAAAGTAGATTCCTTTGAAATGATTACTACTCTCAACAGTGATTGTCCAGATATGAAGTTGTAGAGAATCAGCTACAAACTTTTTTAAATGCACAAATATAAGCAAAATGTTCAGCGTTTTTACTACTTGATTTGGCAATTTTTTTGCAGGGAAGAGATACGTTATACTGGCTACGATTGCGTAAGTAGAACTAATTATATATAATTAAGCAAATTGTCTACTCTAATTGAAACTTCAACAACCCCAATAGCAAACCTAATCAGGAGAAGCAATATATAATGTACCAAATGCTAATCTCTCGAATAAGGTAATGCGGCGATAACATCAACTGCTTTAGTTTTAAACGGATATTCGAGCAGAATAACACTCAGTATGTGCCAATTGAAAGTTTAAGTAACAAATAGTTTAAGCTCTAGCTCTCATTCAGAATAATTCCTAATCCAGGACCAGGATGTTATTATTGAATTTATAAGATGTTTTCCACCTTTTGTAAATGATACCGAAAAAATACCAGTAACGTGCACATGTTTACCGCAATTTGATTACTGGAAAATAATACAATTACTGGTATGAAATTAATCAGTTATTTTCGGTAGTTTCTTTTTTTTGGAATAGAACAAGCAACTATGAATGCATTTTATATGCATTTATCCATTAAATAACAAATAAATCTTAAACGTTAATTTTTTGCTTTTCGCTAACACTTTTGGTGTTACTAGTTTAAAAATATATCCACTTAATATTTACAGTAATATTTTAATTAGAAGCCATAGATATTCACAATGGAAAATGTTGTGGAATTACATATTAAAATTGTTTAATAAATTCATTTATAATTACTGTTTTGCTAGATATTTACTCTTTCTAAAAGTACATACAAAAATGCAACAACCTCTAATAACAATATGCATATTAACTGTTCATTAATGTTCAGCATGCATATATATACAAAGTAATAATTAAATATTAAGCTTATGTAAGTAATTACTACCTTTCTATATTAATTTTAAGTAAAACTTTAGCATTTCATTATTCTTGTGGGTTTAGTTGGTAATATTGAAGCTACTTAGACTTAATTAAGACTTATGCACTAACTGCTTACACTACCGCCAATGCTATGTTTTGTATCTGTTAACATTTGATTTCTTTGTGTGTGTGTGTGTGTGTGTGTGTGTGTGTGTGTGTGTGTGTGTATAATCCTCTTTTACTTTAATTTAACCGTTTAATGTAATGGTTATTTCTTGTCTAGACACACCCACGGACAATTTATATATTGTAAGGTATATGTATGTATGTATTTACTTATGTATCGACAGTAGCAAGCATTTTTGGCTTTGAAAGATTTCAAATGTTCACTTGCAATACTTTTATAAATCAACAATTACGGTAGAAAGTGTGTGGGATTATGTGTGTATATTTCTAGAAGTATGAAGATATATGTGTATGTAAGTATTTTTATGATAAGCAAACTATATAGTAATGGCATATTTGCTAAACATTTTGGCGCAGCGACAGATTACGCGCAATAGTCCTCATGCCCGGGATTGTCAACTGCCGTGTGAGCTTTCTGATTTCGTCGCAGTACCAGCATGGGCTTCATTCTCTTGTTGTGTACAAGGTTCGGCTTCTCCTAAGGTAGGTGGAATCGCAGTTGTGGATGCAGATGGTGACGACATTGGTGGCGGTGGTGGCGACGGCTTCGCCACCTCATCTTTTGGCATTTCAGGTATCGTACCAGCATCTGCCGCTGATGTCGAACTGTATGTGGACACGGGTCTTGAACTACAGCAACTGGTGCTTGACGAGATGGAGCTCTCTGTCACCGGTGCTGTTTGTAGTGAAGGTCATCTAACTGCTTTATCACTGTCATCCGATGTGCCACTATCGCTGGCCCTAGCGCCACTTTCATGCATGCCACAAAGTGTTGCCGCTATGGGTGTTGCAGGTGAAGATGAAATCGTTGCTGTTGGTGGTGCAGGCAGTACATCGTGTGGTATTGGCGAGTCATCCGATTTCGGTGATCCTTCGGTTAATGTCTCCAACACGATAATTTCATTACATTCCAGTGGGTTGTAATCGTAGAACACTCTAGATGTGTCACCCTGTATGTTGACATCGATGGGTGCATTTAAGTCGATCGGTGTAGCTGGTGTTATTTCATCAAATGATGGCCTAGTGTCAGCTTCTGTACGAGCTGAAGCTTCGATGATGGGTGGCTGGTAGTCATGAACTTTTACTCCAGGTTCTAGATATTCATCAGAAAAGTCACCACGAGGTGGCTCTTTGGGACTATCAACCATTATTTGCACAATGGGCTGTTGCATTGGTAGCAGTTCGTCAAAGCGTATATCTTCCGAGCCCGGGCTAATATGTATTTGCGGTGGCTTGCATTTTCCTGTGGGAAGAAAGAAGGATTTTTATTATGGTTTCGCGATTAATCACTTAAGCCACAAAGTAGTTCATCTAAGAATTCAATATTATAATAAGATGCCCGATGAAATCTATGTATGTCTAAAATATAGTATTTCATTTTAGAATTTACAACTAATTCCCCCATCTGATCCGATTATCCGATGTAATATATCGTATTGGTTGCAATATATCTCGACGACCGAAAATCTTTTTTATATATCTATCTCTTTTCCTTCTGATACTTATATACTGCGGACCAAAGATGCATAGAATCTCAGGTACTCTTACATGTAAGGCATTTTTAAAAACAGTCTTCATGAGTGTCGGATACGTATTAATGAATTAAAGATTATAGCTCAAATCTTTGTCCATAACTGAAAATGCTACTATTCCTAGCACATTACGATGTTTATGAATGTTAACAACGCCCCGATAAATATGCTTTCTCAAGATCAGATGGGGGAGCATATAGACTTGATAGAGGGATAGTTTCTTTGTTCTCAAAATTCTGTTGACATCTTGCTCCATATTTTTATTGGCACAAACCGTAACAATATTAGCCGTGAAAACCAAAGCAAGAGCTCTTATGCCTAAAATTTCGATTACAGATCACAAACGAAACAGGATAAATAAGAACTTTGATATAGTTTAAGAGGCAGTATCACGATGCTTTATCTTTCACATACTCCAGCTGTAAAAGTTGCCTGTAGTGGTTTTAAGAGTCAGACAGCCACCACTCCGTTGGATAAATAATGTACAGAAAGTATCTTAATATGGATAATAATTCTCTTTATTAATGAAACTATCAATATTTCGAAAATCCTTAGGATCATCCCAGTACCTAAATTAATCTCCGCTTTTCGAAATTCACTCACCTATTCCTCCAGTCGACGAGGTTCCACCACCCACACCGCCATGCTCCTCATCATCCTCCTCCTTATACTCTTCACTCTCACGATGCACTAACACATGCACCAATGTCGAGTTCTCAGGCCTTAAGCCGCTCGGACCCGATTGCTGCTCCGGCGATGGTTTCGTTACAATCACTTCCGGTGTTGAACCATCCGCTGAAACAAATTAATTTAAAAGGGTTTAAGTGAAACATGCTCAACATTTTCAAATAATACCATCGACACACATACAGACAAAAGCATTTTTGTTAACTCTTAAAGCGCTTTGTGCTGACAAACCTCTTTCTAGCGGTGGCTTTTTACGTATGAAACTGGTGGCACGTTTTCGCGTTGGCGTTGGCGCTATTTGCGTAGGTAGTTGTTGTTGCTGATGTAGTTGAGGTTGGGTTTGTCTATCGGTGGCAATGGTAGTGGAGGAAATTGCCGTTGTTATTGGTGAGATGCCTGCGTTTGTCGTGGACGGATGATGGTGAAGAAGGATTTTTGCACATAAGAAAATGCAAAAAAAAAACATAGAGAAAGTACAAAAAGCACACACGTACAAATACACTACAAGAAATTCACACACACATAGGTGATGTCTACGAAATACCCATACACACATATGTACATTTATGTCTGTGATATATGCATAGATTTAGATGTGTACATATATGTATGTATGCAAGTGTCCTTTACACAAATTAAATTGCAAGAAATGACTGTGAGGTGATTGGACTATTTTTATATTGTTAAAAGCGTAGGAAATGTGTTTAATTTTAATTTTTCAACAAATGCGTTTGAATGTTACATCTATAAATTTACAATGGGGAATTGGGAATGAGGGTGAAGGAGGAGTAGCGTGCTGGCATCAGATATAATAAGATAACAAAGAATCACTAATATTTCGTTATATACATATGCATGTATGTAAATATAAGCTTTGATTCTTGTGGTATTGCAAACTGTGTGTGTGTGTTTGTGTTTAAGCGGATGAATTGGTTTTGGTTTTATAATTTTGGATTTTTTAATTACGTAATTACTTTTTCTATGCACTGATGGTGATGTTAAGCTATCATCAACAGCATCCTGATGGCGTAAAAAGAAATTATAAAAGCTTCGGCGACGATTTGCTCGAGGTGCTTCCACGAATATGCTACCACTTTTTTGTTACGACATATTGTAATGTTGTGGTAGTAGTTGTTGTTGTGTGGTTTTATGATATTTTAAACAAAATTACATATTTTTTGACGTTAAACGATTTTGTGTGTGGCGGTTTTATGAAGCAAATACAGAATTATGGAAAAATAAATAATTAAATTTGAGTGTTATTTATTTAGTCAATTTGAGTATAATATATATTTAATATATATTTTGCTATAGATCGGATCGATTTGCCTTTGTTACGTACATATGTATATGTATGTATGTACTAAGTAATTGCAAATTTTTGACGAAAACTATTGTTTGTTTGGCGTATCACATATAATCATACTTAAATAAAGGCGAAAAAAAGAAAACATTTCCCATAGCTTTTATCGATAATAACATATAAGCGGACCCGAAACATTTACTAACTGTGGGCACAAAATAGTCAAAGCTCGAATTGAAATATTAAATTAAGATATTCTATCGTTCTGTATACTCTTTATTTGCTAACTTCCATTAAAGGATTGAAACATAAACACTACATACACTTACTCGTACACATATATTTTAACTATTACTTTTGTCTAATAAGATACGCACTAGCAGCTTTAGTTATAAAAACTAATATGTAGAAAAATGTAAATATGTTGATTTTGTATGTATCTAAAACTGACTTCATTGCTTTCTTCTGACGAAATCCTAAAATGTTATGATTCCCAAACTAATTCCTAAAACATACCCAGGTTTTAAAACGGATGTTAGTTGTACTTAAAAACAAAATGACGATTGAAAAGTAAATCAAAATAATAATTGTAATCTTATACTTATTAAATAAATAAAATGCTAAAACTTAAGATATTGAAAACTAATTAATTTAGTTACCAAAGGTAACTTTAACTTTTACCAACGAAAGTGCTGAAAGGGGAAGATCTACTGCGGTTGATGCACCACTAAGGATGAATAAATCGTACAGCCTATATGAACGGTGTTTTTTACACTTATTACAATTAATTTCACAATCGAAAAATACATTAAGTTTAGAGATAAATCACACACTGTTTAATATCCAACGCTCGGCGATGCAGATTCTTTGCTCCTAACAATATTCAAAATGAATTTTCAAAATTTTTAAAGTTACGAAAATTCATTTTGAAGATCGTTAAGCACAAAAAAAGTTATTATTTCTTTTTCGTTTTGGCACTTTTGGAATAATGAAGTCTTGTAGAAAATAATTAACTGAAATTGCAATGGTCTTGAGTCGAAGTTATGAGTGGCTGGCATAGGTGGCTATCACGGAGCATCGAGAGTGTCAAATGAAATATATGGAAGTGTTGTTGGAAAGGAAATTATTAAAAAAAAATTATTATAGTTTATATGACGTTGACTGACCACATGATATAGATATGTTCTACGGGGTTTTCCAGTACTAATTTTACAATCGTCGCAAGTGTGTGTTTTTTATTTTATTTTTTTTTTTTTTGAAATTTTGGTTACTACAAGCATGAATAATTAATTTCCTTCGTTTTTGATTCATTATCTTACAACACAAGAGAGTTATCAGTACACACACTGAAAATAAGAATAAATTATCTAAATTAAATTAAATATTTCAGGCCGCTACTTACAAATTGTACGCATCAAATTCGATTACTTTTTGTATATACTGTGTATAGATTGTAAACACAAACTGAAATAATTGCAAAATAGGATTCGTAAGTTAATAAGGTGTAGATTCAATAATTCGACGGCAGTATGGTAATTTTTAATGAATAGTTCTTTTAACAAAAATGCCGAATTTTATGTGTGAATACATGAGTAAATAGAGATGTATGTAGATATACAAAGCAAATTCAATTTCGTTAGCCAATCGGTACACATGAGAAATAATAGAATGCCATTAGTTGATTGTATAAAAAATAAATAAAATAAGGACAATTTTATAAATTTCATTTCAATTAGTATGAAATATGCGCCTACATTGTACAAAAGTGGTATAGTTTGCAATTTATGAGAGCTAAATATTATTGTGTTTGAGATATTTATATGTGTGTAGAAATTTTAGTACAGTTATGTATGTACGGATGCTTTTCTTATAGTAGATACAGTATGCAATGTAGATAGTTGATTTTTCTTTCATCGGCTACTCTATTCTAAATTGTAGATATATACATATATATATGTTTGTTCAGACTACCGCCTACAATTACCTCTTTCACAATCATTATCATTTGCTAATAAATCTAAATCGCTTGAATGTGAGCCCCTTCGTAAAACGTTTGAGACCATTTCTGCGAGCAATGACTCATATGTTAGGGAGAGACAAGAGGACATTCTAGAAATAGGACTTAAGATACAAATATACATATATACATATATATATATATATGAAAGTACGTATAAAAAAATTGAGATGCTGCAGCTAAAATTGCAAGTAAAACAAATACCATTACATCTGTATATAGTTAAATAATAGTATAATAATTGAGTACTAGTTTTCGTTTCGTCAAAAATCGCAATGAGAATTGCATTGAATGGGACTTTTTCCGGCGCCAATTGGAAAAAATATTGCATTATGTATAAGCTTATGTAATTAATACCGCTTTCCAAGTTCCTCGCTTTGCTGCTTTATGTCCTTCACCACATCATCAGCGCCAGATACCAGCATTAGTGGTAGATTCAGCCAAGGGCCGGCCAACTCGCTCAGATCGGAAGCATCAGAGGCACGTGAGGATTTACGTGACGACGCACGACTGGAACATTGTGTGCCGCGACGACTGACCTGTGTGAGTGAGAGAATTTGATGAAAAATATTGAATAAATTATTTAAATAAAAGACAAATATTTACTTGTAGGTGGAAGAAATTAAGCGCAGACAATTTAGACTGCCATCCGCCGGGACTTGATGTCTGAGTCATGCTGTCACCTGAATTTGAGCGTTCTTTCTCTTTCTTCATGCTGTAAAAAGTAAAAGAATTACTTAAAAAATCCTTTAACATGACATTTATATCATTAAATCCAACACTGCAATATTTCGATTGACATGACTTTGAATTATTTTCGCATCATACGTGTACTATTCATAAATTCTTTTCATTGTTGAGTTTTCCAAGTAATATTTCTTTCATCAAATTGTCCTGACTTTGACTCAAAACGGTATTTTTAACAGATGTTTCAAATATTTAATTATTTTTTCAATTAAATTGTTTGGGTGATGAATTTATGATACCTCATTTAATTCTGTAATGATTAATGATTCAATATGTAATTCCTTTATACATATAGAAAAATTTTAGATATCTCATAAAAGATTTCATCAGTTTTTTTAATCAAAAGTAGCACCATAAAACACGCGAAATATTTCTTTCCTGATGACAATTAAACACTGTGTTCCGAAATTTTCATTGGATTATACAGCTCTGGTCAGACATAATCTAAAAAGTACTTTTGAAAATGTGGTTGTCCACAATGCGGAGTATCAATACCGCCGAGTGCATCACTGATATGAAAAATACCTTCAGCTACTTAAAACTATAGATCCCCCCGTGAGTAGCAAACCATCACACAACAAATCAGAGGTGAAGATAGTATATTCTTTTAAAATCTTATTATTGGGTAACGGTGTTTATTTTATATAAATATAAAGAAATATAAGATGTATGGATAAATACTCTACTCACCGCTGATATTCACGCCATGCATTCTGTATTGTCTTAGCAGCTTTCTCTTGCCGCTTCCAAATACGTGTAGATGAAACGATTTCCAATTCCTTGCGTGTAGGGAATTGCTTCTTGAATTTCACATCCATTTGCTCTTGCAACTGCTTGAAGTTATCAGTTTCCTCCACATGACCCAACACATGTTTGACGAGTGCGTGTAAAATATCAAGGCAATGAATTTTATTACCCCTCGATATCGGCAAATTGAATGAGACCAACGCTACAGTGTTGGGCTTCGAAATGCCAAGCGGTGGATCGAGTGAGGCAATGAAATCCGAAAGTTGACCAAAGTGTATGAATTGTGTAGCGTGTGGGTCGTATCTGTAAGTGAACGCAAATGGAATTAAAAAAAAAACACAAGCGTATGAATACATGTATTAAGTAGTTATAGTAATTGTGGGTTAATACTAACTTGGACCATCTGATATAGAACATTTCCAAATCATCTTCGACAATACCGATCTCTTCCTCTTGATGTGCTTGATTGAAATTCTCCAAAATAATTGCAATATACATGTTAATCACAATCATATAACTGATTATAATGAAACTAGTAAAATAGGTGATGGCCAATAGGGGATGGCCGCAGTCTCCGTTTGTTTGTTTATTGAAGAAGGGATCGCAATCAGGTGGTTGAATCATCAGTGATTCCAGCACATCATTCCAACCAGCGGAGGTCATAAGCCGAAACAACAGCTGCATGCTGCGTCCGAATGTCTGAAAGTTCACCATATCATCTAAGGCGCCCTGCAGCTTAACATGGCCGAACAGTGACATGCCCAATATCGCATAGATGAAGGTGATCAGTCCCAGTAGTGCGCCAATATTAAATAGCGCCGGCAGTGAGACAACTAAAGCGAACAATAGTTTACGTATACCCTTGGCCGCTTTAATAAGACGCAGTATACGACCGATGCGAAAGACGCGTACCACACGCAATAGGGTTGGGCTGATGGGCAAATCGATCATGATATCCTCCATGAGGATGCCGAAAATCGAGGCAAGTACAAGTAGGAAATCGAAAACGTTCCATGGCACAGTAAAGTAATGATAACGCAGACCGATGATCTTCACGATCGCCTCTATTTGTGTGTATGTGTACGGAGAGGTGAAACGAGATTGGGATTTTTAGTGCAAAATAATAGTGGATTGGGTGTAAAGATTACAATATTTTAAAATATAAAATGTTTATTATAGAAACATGCAAATTCGTATAAATACAATTAGTAATACGAGTACATACAAATAGGTACTAATAGTGAACACAGGTGGACGGTACTTACCCAGCCCAAAGACAGTGGTAAAAAATGCATTGCTTACTTCGAGTATGAAAAACACGGAATGCGGTTGGTTGTAGTGCTCGATACCCATTGTTAACATATTTAAAAAAATCAATACAAATATAGCTATTTCGAATCTGTGTTGTGATTGTTGTCGTGTTGGATATTATTGCCATTTTAGTAGTTGTTGTTGTTTATTGCAGACGTTGTTTTTTTGTGTTTTTGTTTTAGTGTTTTTATTTCAGGTGTTGAGATTTAATGAATGGCAATATTTTGAGTGTTGTTGTTGTTTCAGCCGTTGGACCATAGGGGAGGACGAAAAGTCATTGAAAAAGAGAACACACTTTAGTCATACACTTTGCAGGATATATGAAATATATATATATTAATAAAACTTATTTACATAAACATAAATGTATAAAATTAGGATATATAAGTATCTAACATTTTTACAAAACAAAAAAAAATATTTACAGGAAATAAGTGAAAAAGACTTGAAGAAAAAACTATGTGCATAATGAAGAGCCCTCTAAGTGAAATTATTGTATGGGTTGCTGATTAGAGGAATTTTACGCGCTCTTTTCGCATTTGCGGGTAAACTGACTAATATTTTTGTTTCAAATAGGAGAGTGTTCTGCATTATTTTTAAAATCATGCAAATTGTTTATAAAAAATTTATTAAAAAAAATTTATGCATATCGGCAATAATAAACTGCTATTTTTGATCAAACGTTGTTTATAATTCTATTGTTTCGATTAAATAATTTATATTTTTGTTTACATGTTTATGTAAGGGATAATGCTTTTCACTTTTGCGATTGTTATTTTTGTTTTTATAAAAAAAATCATAATATTTCGAATGCTACTCGTCATTCGTGATTTCATAAATAACAAACTTGAAAATTGCCGATATGATCAAACAGACGTGACAGTCTGTCCGTCTGTTTGTACGTATTCCAGGTAGTTTTTGAGGTATAGACGGTAGGCTTAAGCAATCACTTGGTGGACCACAATCCAACCGATTTTTCAGATTTGAAACAGGACACATTGGAAATGATTAGTAAATTTTAAGTCATAAGCTTCAATTTTTAACAAATATTTGTTTTGGAATCAATTAATACATCAGTGCTCTCCAAACTCTTTATGGCATGACCAGAGAAGTGACCAATTGATTTATTCAATGGCCACTTTTTCCAAACCTAAGAAAAACAGTGAAAACAAGTCGAAATTCCGCTTTTGCATTTATTTTCGATTGGTATTGGTATTGTTCCAATATTGCATTGCGGTATTTCTTTAGACGTCGCGCGAGACTTGAGAATGATGCTTTACAAATGTATATGGAACCAAACATGAATAAAAACCTTGATACAGTGCCTTTGAATGCCAAAAAATTACATTCAGAAAGCAAAACGCCTCCAAAATGCATCGCCCGATTCATTTGGCAAGCCGCAAGCATTCCAAATGAGTTTTCTTTGTTCCGAAAAGAACCGACAATTTTTCAGTATCATTTGGATCACAAACGAATGGGGTTTTGAAAAATTTGAATGCCAACTGAATCTTTTGGAAATCTTCAAATCGTAACCTAGCTCGAATTCTTCATTATATTGATTTGTTTCTAACACTGGGAAAAAAGTAAAATCTATTTCGTTAATTTGGTTTTTAAATGCGGCCGGAGTAGTCGAGTGGTTAGCATTGCGTACTGACATTCGGAAGGCTCGGGTCCATATCCAAGTGACCACTAGTTTGGACAGAACTGTTATATATGTTTTAAATACATAAACATATAAACCGTTTGAACGTGATTTTTTTATTAGAAACAAAATAATCTCATAGGGATTAAATTAAATAAAAAATAGGTATTTTTGTTTCAACACTAACATCTTGAAAATACAAAAAAAAAAGTTGTGAAAGAGCAAGCAAATGATTGATTGGGGGTTTAAGAATATTTTATGAAAGAAACGGCATTACAAGCATACAAGCATACAAACATGCCATGTATATGATGCTACAAATAAAAATCTTTTTTGCTAAATAACAATCTTTTGTGTGGACTAATTTACTTTTGAAGGGATCTCGATGCAAATCACCTACGGATGATCAGAACATTTAAACACAATTTCTTTATTTAAGTTTAAAAACACAAGCAGGGAAATATGTACGTGAAGTTCTACTATATTTAAAAGATTTATAAAAGTATTTACATCGTGGATAGTGGTTGGTTAATTAGTGGGCAGTAATATAATCACAGTAAAGAGAAGTACAGAGCTAGTTTCGGGGTCTTATACACGGTTCACAGTCCTTCCTGGATGGAAGACTACAAACTGTCTATAGAATACACCGTAAGAAATGTATCACAAGCAAAGGTACTTGTGAAACAATTCGAGAAGAAAGCAAGTGTTTAAATAATTTTATCACCAAATCTATTCATCTATGAATCGAACTCATTCATTTCTAGCAAAGCTAAGTCTGTTGTTTGCGGCAATGTGTATGCTTAGATTAACATCATACTTCAGTGGGATAGTCTATCATAAATATATGCATTTATATATGATTGTACCTAATTATATATTTAGAGCAGTTATATACATAAATATGTATGAAAATAATTGTGACAGTTTCGCAAAACAATTGAAGAAAACCACTTTGAAAGATTTTAAGCGGTTTCATCTTAAGTTTCCAGTTAATTAATCACTTTCACAAAAATCAAAACATTTATCACATTTCGTATTTTATGCGAATAGAGGGGATTTGAAAGTAAGCATTTTCGAAGGAAAGTAGAAAAAATTAATAAATGTATTATTATGGAGGATTGCGCCAGCAGGCATGTCAGGCATTGTACGATAAAGATTTCGGATATTAGGCCGTAGTCAAACATGCCAAGGAAAATGTGTTCTGTATCTCTCTGACCCACTAATATCAGAAGCTCAAATACATATGTAAGTGCAACATACTCGTAATATACATAGCTATATATCCACATAGACGTATTTGTCAATATTTGCTTGATTGGAAAGAATTTAATATGCAACCCAAACAAACTGATATTAATTTCGCTAGGAGATTTAGCGTTTGCAATTCGTCTATCGAAATTAATTTCCGTAAAGAAAGAATGGGACTTGTAGAAATATTTATATTTTCGGTGTTCACACAGGAATCAAAAATTGTTTGATTACAGAAAGTGTTTCTCTTTGCCATGTCTGATCGCACCTTTAATTCTCCTTATCCACATCACAACGGTAATCGGCATCACATCATCACATGGCCGCTGTCGGGTCTGAAGCAAAAAAATGCATCAGCACGTTGCTGTGATGCCACAATGCTTATTTCAACTACTAGGGCACACCTCCGTTAAATATGAACAAAGATTTTTAGTAGAAGATTTTGATTTGAAATATTCAAAAAAAAAAAAGAAGGTGTTATATGGAGTAGTAAGTACTTAAAGACCGAGAGAGATAGCCGGACAGTTGAAAGTCAAGTAAGACAAATGCATTTCTATGTAAATTTTTTTTGGTATGTTTTGTAGTTACTGTACTTTGAGTAAATATAGTGTAAGCAGCAACAGCTTTTCCGAACTAAATGTTGTGAATGCAAAAGCGTATGCCAAATAAAAAATATTAAGAAAATGTATAGAATGTCTAAAAAATTATGTATGAGGTTAAGTGGTTGAAAATCAAGAAGAAATAAAACCAAAATGAAAACTCTATGCAGTTATTATTGTATGTATATTTTAGTTATAAATCATACTTTTAGCGTTTGATCATTACCTTCTCGAATTCGATAAATCATAAAACATTGCTAAAAAATGATTTATTGGTCGCTTAATGACTTTCTGTGGTTTTTTTCGTCCCAACTTTTTCATGGCGGTGTAATAGTGTTTTTGAGATTCGGTGAGAAACATTTCCAACACTCCTCCTTCATACTATTGGAACGATGAAAGTAAATGTATTTTGATTATAATATTAAAATACAAGCACCATAAATGTTTTGGTTCAAATATTTCAGTGTATGTGTGTATTTACATATTTTAAATAAGTATTTTTTGTGTATATGTTAGTTGTGAATAGTGTGAATAGTTGAAAACCTTTGCTAAGGTATGATACACATTTATACACAGAATAAAGAGTGAGTAATAATTCTTTAATGAAATTACTGTTTGGTAAAGTTGCCAACCTTGCCGAAGAGTACTTTCTTGTGATTTATATTTAGTTAATAAATATCTCTGTATATTAGTAGCGTAAAATATTTTTGTACAACATCAAAACGGTTTGATGCAATTTCTTTGAGGTAAGGGTAAACGAAGTTCTCTCATTCCATTTCGAGAGTACATATTTATACACACAATGTATATAGTTATATTATTATGCTTTTTAGTTAAGGCGTGGTTGGTAATCTGTTCATCAAACCTGATTATCATGCTCCATAGAACCGCCACACTTACCTTCTTCTTGAGCATATTGAAATTATCGATAATAACTCCAATAAATAGATTAAGTGTAAAAAATGAGCCGCATACGATGAAAATGACGAAGTAAATATAGGCATAGAGATTGGCTTCTCGTTGTGGCTGCAGATCGACACCACGTGCATCCACTGCATCGGCCATCACTTCCATCCAACCCTCGAAGGTGGCCACTTGCAGTAGCGCCAGATAGCCCATGCCTACATGATCGAAAGTAATTTTGGAATTGATCCATGTATAATTTTGTTTAATGCAATCATCTTTGTCGTTCACTTCCTGTTGCAGTCATAAAAAGCGTAGAAAGTAAGAACATTAATAAATAAATAAAAATATTTCTTAATGCTTAAAACATTTTATGCTTGAAAAACATTTTGAGCTTTTCTTATGCTGCAAATTAAAATATAGAGCGAAATTGTTCATATTTTGAGTGCGCTTTTTTTATAAATTTATTCCAGTGAAATTGTGTATGTATTTGAAATGGTTGACGTGGTCAATCAATTTATTGTACATCGTTTTTTTACTAACCGTCACTGGCAGCAATTCCCCGTCATCGTCGAGGCATTTAAAAAATTTACCACCGAAAAATTGTACACCCATTATCGAAAATATCAACCAAAAGACTAAACAAACTAAAAGTACATTAAAAATTGACGGTATTGCATACATGAGAGCATTTACTACAATTCGCATTCCTTGCCACCTGGAATAGAAATAAGATGAAACAGTTTCATAGATTTATGGGGAGGACTGTGTCAGATATTTACATATTTTTTTTTTTAATTTGAACTATTTTTTATCGAGAGAAATTTTCAGGATTAGACACGAAGATGTTTAAATATTTTTAAGGAGTTTAATGTGGGAAAAATAATGATATGAAATAAATGCATACATACACATATAACGAGAACATTATTTAACCAGGAAATAAAAATAACAACTATTTAAACACTGAGAATATCATTAACTTTCCTGATCATTATAAATAATAAATTATAGTCAAGCCCTGTAGAGATTGGCTTCATAAGAATACAGAGTTACGATTCGTTTCTGAGTTGTTTGGGAAAAACTCCTAACCTAATTCTTTATTTCTTCAACTCTGTTATGACAATATATAGGAGGTGAGTTATAAAATTGAACTACTGCGTACTGCCAATCGGAAGGCCAGGGTTCAAGTACTGGTACGACCAACATTCAAAAGTTATAGAAAATCAATTTAAATAAAAAATGAAGTTAAATGTCAAGGTCGTAAATATAGTAGTTATGACATGAAATAAAGACTCCTCAAAAAAAACTCTCAGCCATTCGGCGGTGGCTTAGTATAACCTGTAGGTCCTTCCATTTCTTGGAAAAACAGCAAGACGCAAAACCACAAATTTGAGATAGAGCTTGGCCGAAAATCGCTTTAATGGCAGCCGCATAAAAAACATATTCAAAAGGCTTAGCAAAAAGTCGTGGTGATGCAGAAGCTGCTGAATTTTTAGGAGTTGAGTGTTGTGATTAGGAATATTTCCATTGGAAAAAGCTCGTGACATGACCCGTCCAATTTAAGGGATCAGTAATAAATTAAGACTCGTCTTGAATGGGTGTTGAAACTTGTACTGATTTATTTATGTTCTATTATGAAGATAAAAACAAAACAAAAAATAACGGCTTCAGACAACATGCAAATAAATGTACACATATTTCGTTTTACCAAATCAGAAATAAAAAATCAAAATACTTTAGTTAAAGGATAGGAATAGTGTTGCTGTCTAATGAAAGGGAAGTTGTGTGACTTAGAACATACACGTATCAATAGTAAATATAACTGTATGGTAAGATATACACATAACCGAGGATGGCGTGCAAAGTGCGGTCTTAAAGCCGTGACAGGATGTAAATGGTAAATAAAATTGGATAGAAAATTTAGTTAGGCGAGTTACCGATTTGGAAAGCAAAGTGTAACACAAATTGCTCTGTGTTTGCAGCACAAAAGTTTTGAAGTATTTAATTTCTACTGCTTTTAAAAGTATCCCCGATTTTTATTTATATTTTTTTCTTGAAACATTTTGTGTGCAAATACATCTGTACGCAAATTTCAATAAAACTACAATTCAATGGAAACCTTATATATTTTGCCATTTACAAATAAATGCTGTAAGGAATTGGCTGCCTAGTAGGAATGAGTACAGGATGTACGGTATAGTTTAACGAGTTTGCTTCAATTACGGGAAATACGAGTACGCAATTATAACAACGACTGCCAATAATTATAAATTATTTAAATAATAAATTCTAATATTTTTCTTTTTTAGCTTTAATGTGGCTTTGTTATTTTAATTAATTATTATTTCTATTCGAAATTCATAAAGAAGACGAGATTGTATTAAACACCCACAAATTGTATTTCAGTTTTTTTCTTTGTTTCAAATACAACATGAAGATTGTAAATCATAATCATGAAAATTACATATAATGAAGATTTATAAAAATATGCTCAAAAGCTTTTCCAAAGCCCAAATGTGTATGTGTAAATATTTAGTATTATTTGTTTGTATAGTTAAATTTTTAGTGGGAAAAAGTTTAGAAAATACAGACTGAAATCTGAAAGTAGAAAGTTGATGCATAAATGTTAAAAAATTTAAATATAATCACACGAATACTCATACGTACTCGTACATCAAATATACGCACATCGAATATCGTACATAGTTTTATTTTAGTAACATTAGCACGGCGCATGCCAAATATAGTACATACATACATACAAAAATAGATAGTTTTTAGAATGAAGGAAAAATACCCATTTGAAAGCGAAAAGAAAATGTTTAATGCTTATAAAGAGGCTTGTGGGAAAAATTTATTAATGATATTATTTTTACTCAACATTAATTACATAAGCAAAATAATGTATAAACTTAAAATATTTCGGCAATTGCTATGCCCATAAACTCACCGTGAGATGGCGCGCAATGGACGCAAAGCTCTCAGTGTTCGCAGCGAACGCAAGACTTTGAGGTTTTCGTTCTCTTCGATAAGCAATGAGAACACGGAGACCTGAGAGACAGAAAAATTTGTTATGGATTATACAATTATTTTATCTTCTTTATTATCCACTCACGAAGACTATAATGAAGTCCAATATCGTCCAAAAGCTCGTAAAATATTTGGAAAATCCCAAGGCTAACCATTTCAATATCATTTCAATGACAAAAATGAGGCAAAATGAGAAATTTGTCCAGTAGAGTATACGCTTCAAGGTCTTATTACTATCTAAATAGATGTCCTCGAAGCAAAGGGTAATGCTCGACGCGAATATGAGCACTAGCACAAACCACTCAAAGGCTGGAGTATCAACAACCGCCAAGACAGCCGTCCTTATACCTGTCCAATGTCTGGCGCTCTTCGTGTCCATACACGACATGAACCACGGACAGCGGAAATAGAAGCTGAAAATAAATGTGAGGTTTTTTTGCATATACAATAGTAAAAAGGAAGAGAGGCAAAGAGCAATTGGAAAAGGAAAAAGGAGAGCAAGTTGAAAATTGTGAAAAGTAGTTTACCCATACATATATAAATTAGAGAGAGAGAGAGAATTGGTACAGCGTAACAGGAGACTAATAAGATCGCAAATAAAAATTGGTAGTAAATTTTGGAAGAATATTGAGCAAAGTTAAGAATGTCAGTTTGTTTTGTATGATATTGATTTTAAATAACGTCCAGAAGCTAAATTATGCTCCATCGCCCAACAATCATACATATTTTTTATACTTACTGATCATAGCACTTCTGCGGAAAGCAATCGTCTGGCACTTTGGGTGTTTTCGTTTGTCCGAAACTTGGAAAAGTCATGGGATCATTGTATGCTCCCTGCGAGTTACGTCTCCCACCAACAGTGAGATCGTCTACGTAGGAGACCAGACAATGCCATGGTTTTTCGGTTAGCCGTGAGAAGGCTGACTTCTGTTGTGTTGGTTCGGCTGTCTCCGTAACCATAGCACCGCTCGCAGATGTTCGTGTCCCCAGTGCCAGTACGGAACTGGTATCGGCTATACCTCCACCGCATGAACTATGCGACTCAGTGCGTGTGGATTGAAAGGAAGCGGCTTTGTCTAGAGTCGATTGAGGATGCTCGGCGAAACGTTTGGCGCGCATAGAGACCACATCGCCAGCAGCCTTTGGGCGGATGGTCGAGGTGGAAGTGGTAGCAGTGGAGATAGAGGTGGAAATGGTGTTTTTTGTTGCTGACGATAGAAGTGGTTGTTGTAGTGGTAGTAGTGATGATGGAGGTGGGTCATGTATTTTCGAGGCATGATAATGTTGTTGGTGCTCAGTGAGTGCCGCTAGCGGCGGCGTGGTCTTGATAGAGGATATTTGTGCTAGTGTTGGCGGTTCGAGCTTCGATTTTAGCGACGTCGGTGGCGTTGGTGGTATGGAGCCAGTGTCACGTGGATTACTATGTTGACGACTCAATTGTTGCTTTTGTATCAGTAAATTCTCATAAGAATTTGTGCTCTTGAGCGATAAGCTATCAAGTCGAATGGCGTCTGTTGTGAGGCACTTGCGTGGCAATTTTTCCGACTCCATGCGAAGGGTTGATATGGGTTTCTCTTCTTCAGGTACTTCATCGACCCTTTCGATGAGGGACAGGCGTTTGAAACGGTCGAATTGTGCCGCAAACTGATCGCTTTTATGACGTGAAAATGGTGATTTGGCGGCTGCTGTAACGGTAGCTGCTACAGCCATTGATTCGATGGTCACGAATGGGGCATGAATTTGATCACAGATTTTGCGTATTTCATTTGATATGCTAAAGTCTTCGTCAATTTTACGCTGCTTCTCAAGACTTCGTCGTTTTATCTTCACCGAATTGCGATCGGTGCTGGAGAGAAGTGGATGCTGGCGTCGTGGCACAGTAGAAAGATCATAACTGTCATACGGATTCAGCGGGTGTACAACTTCATCGGCGGCTGAACGAGCAGACGCGCCAGTTATGACTGCAATATGATCCAGAATAGCTTTATTTGCCTCATCAGCTGCAGGTGAAGGTTCCGAGAGCGTTGACAAACGTCGCTCCAGAGACGTTGTTGATCGCTTGATTTCTTCCAACTCTTTCTCGAAACTCTGAATGATATTATCGAATTCGGAGTGCTCAACTAATGGTAGACTCTCATTGCCATGCCCATTACCGTTGCTGGATGCATGACTACCATTACGGCGGAGCTCTATCTGTTGCATTATCGAGTTGGATATGTAGCTTAAATTCGACTTAATGCTGCTCGTAGATGGCTTCCGTTCATCCTTACGCCCATCAACTATCAATGAATCGGTGTCGGGATCGACAATTGCTGAGCCATAACCAACTGTCTCGCTAAAATAATTATTACTATTGTCCGCATCATCTTGAAGAAACTGGAAGAGCTCTTTGTGTTCGCAATTCAATAGGTCATCACGCAGGTTCCCATGATGTGAGAGTAATTCCTCATGCTCTATGGATATCGTATTGAGCGACTGACCACTCGAGTGTCGACGTGCGCTCAAGTGCAAATCATCTTCGGACTTTAAACTACGCGACGCTATGAGAGAGCGTTGGGACTGATCGCTCGACTGCGACAGACGATCCAAGGACTTGCGATAGCTTGGAGAACGTGTCAGCAGCGACTTTTGATACTGCAAATAAGCTTCGTCATGCTCATCGTTGCAAAAGCGACGCGACAATGTATCTTGGAGCGAGTCTCCACGCATAAATGAACCGCTACGCTGATCATTCGCATATGGATCAGTATCAGTCGAATTATATTGACCCATGAGACGCAATTCAATGGACTCGGTGTATGTGGGCTCGTCGCGTGAATCGTTGTGTTGGGTGCCGAAACCGGAAGACACTTGATGCAACAGACGGCGCTCTGCTTGCGGATAAAGCGTATTGTAGTCGTTGCGACTATTATTGTCTAATTGGCAAGAGCTAGTTGTTGTTGTGATGCCATCGAAAGAGGGCGCTTGCTGCTGCAACTGCATATGATGCAACTGTTGCTGCTGCTGTTGCTGTTGCAATTGTGTGGGCGATTGCAAGTGCTGTTGCTGTAAATGTTGCTTTTCAGGAAGCTCATGCTCACACTCCACCCCATCAACGATGGTGTGTAAGGTATCCTTTAAGGGTATTTGAAAACCAAAATCCGAACCAGATACCGGACGATTCATGGACTCCTGTTATTAAAGTAGTGAAAGAAGTAATACAAATTAAAAATAATACCAGCCAGAAAAGGGGCTGTCCATAAAGAACAAGTCGTATAATTCAAGAAGAGACTATGAAAGGGGTAGCTAACCTGATAGCTGAGCCTATGTAATTTAGTCTCTGTCGTTAAGCTCGGTTTCTCGATGACCTGCGCCGCCGCTTGCTGAGCTTCTATAACGATTTGTTGGAACTTCGTAGCGTATTTACGCTCCTTGCGTTCCTTACGCTCCTGTCGCTTTTTGCGTATCAAATCGCGTACGCGTTCGATGCTGCGCGCCAATTTCGACTCTTCACCGACCTCCTATTAAACATGTGAAGTAAATAAGATACAAGTGTTAGCATAAAATATGAATAGATTTGAAAGATTTTAAAGTTTCGGAAAAATTGAATTTTTTAATTTTTATGCTTGCTATTGCAATGCGCCAATTACATACAGAAATTTCGTTAATACAGATAAAAAAAACTACTGAACGGTCGTTAACGGGTATTTTTACAAGCATATGTATACATTTTTGAGGTTAGCCAAGCTTTTGAAGGCGCCAATTCGGGTTTTCGTTATTTTTTTGGTTTTCTATTAAGGGGTTTGCACATGCAGCATAACTAAATATTTATATTATTGTAAATTTTATTTGGATTAGAAAAACTACATTCAACATTTAGAGATTTTGGAGTTATGAAACAATCTGTGCTAGAAATTAATTTTTTTAAAGAGAGGATCAAGTTATACCTAAAAAATTTGTTAAAAAGTAGTTGATTTATTTTGTTAGTGGGATTTTTAATAACTTAAGTCACAGGAAATTACCTTTTTTTTGAAAATCTGTTTATTTTGTGATAGACATATATTTTTTGTTGTTGATAAACATATAAATGTTTTCATTTTTTTCATATAAACATGACCGAAGCGTCGAGCATTACAGAGTTTTAAATAGTTATACATATATATATATATATATTTTATTATTATGTTTTATTTAGTCGAACACATTTTGGTGCATATTGAATTGTTGTTTCACATAAATATATAGTTAGAAATTTCATTAAAAATATGTATGTAGAGGAAACAAATTTATTGAATTAATTATAAATTTTAACGAAAAAACGATTAATTTTGTAATTTTATGCAAATATTTTCCAAATTATGGATCAGTTTTTAAATATATTTTGGATGTGTTTTAAATTAATTGTTCGTACAATTTTCATTTGTTATTGGTTTGGCATTAAATTTAAAAAAGGTCAATTTAAGCACTCAAACACACACAGTAATAGTGAGAGTTTTTTTTTTAGAGTTTTCATGTTTAAGACACATAGTTGTGAAGGAAGTTCGTTCGCAAGTAATTAACAGTTGAGCGGGGAAACATAGACGAGTTGTAGTAGAGAGGAAGACAATAATAGAAATACATTTTCATAAACATATAGTATGTACAAATATTTTAGTAGTATTGTGTTTAATATTGTGTTAATGATGATGTTGATCTTGGGGTACTTATATGTTATAATTTATTTATTGAATAAACTATGTCAATATGGACAGTATGTCAATTAATTGTTTGCAAAATGAAAAAAAGTCAGACAAATTCATTTTTCAACTTGATATTTGTTAACTAAAACAATTTTTCTTAACATAAATAATGCACACAAGTTCCAGAATTGAAGACATAAAAGTAAAAGAGAAATAAAAAATTCGAAAGACAGCAAATATTATCGTATCAATTAATTGTTTGGCTTTAGTAAACAATTATAGTAAATATAATTAAAACTGAGAAAATATAGCGTCGAGGATGACGGGACATGGACTGAATAAGGTTGTTTAAGTCATAATTTTCATATTTTTTGTTCTACTCTTAGTGAATGACCTTAATAAGAGCGTTTTCATTAGTTTGGTCCCGTTTGCCCACTCGCTTCCTTAAAAAAGCCCATACATTTTCTATGGGGTTTAAGTCAGGACTCTGGGCAGGAGTGTCAATCACTTTATTGCAATTATATAGTAGCCACATCCTGGTACAGTTTGTACCTTAATTTATTAGGGTTTTCCTGGTCCACAAATCCAAATCTTATCGCACTCTTTGACCATTCGTTCTTTAGAATGTTCAAGTAAAATACCTTCGTCATCACGTCAACCCCAAACCATTACAGAAAGCTTACCAAATTTTACTGTTGGAATTACATTTTTCTTTTGCAAAGCTGTGTTGGGGTTTCTCCAAACTTTACTGGGTCCATCATGATAGTATAACATTATTTTTGTCTCGTCGCAAAAAATAAAGTCATCCCAGTATTCCACAGCCTTGTAAACATTGGTAATAGAGAAGTTGACCCGCTTCTCAATATTAACCATCGACAAAAATGGGTTCTTTCTAGCTATTCGCGAGGAGTACTTGTGTATTTTTAAGACTTTCCGGAGTGTCTCGTGACTTACTGTTTTATGTCAATCATTTTTAATATCTAAGGCCTGGTTTGAGGGTTAACACTGATCTCCTTTAAAATTTGTGAATGATCGCGTCTAGAAAGTTTCGGTGGTCTACCTCCAGAGTGCTTTGTCCAACCTGTTTTCTTTTTCTGCGCATTTAATAATATTATAAATCCTTCTAAACTTGATGGAAAACAATTCCGCTAATTCCTTAGCCGATTTCCCTTTGTGGTAGTTAAAATAAACTAATTGAATAAAATTTTCATTAGTTCGCTTACCAGGCATTGTTAAAAGCGCTAAATCAACAAGCTTTGTACTGTCCAAAGCATTAATCGAATTGAATGTAATAGAGCAACGCATAGCTATGACGCACGCGTTCACTCGTTTTTAAATTTGTGGTACCGTTAAGTTATCTACGTTTTATTTTGGATTGTGTAGGCATTTTGCAAAGAATTAATTGACAACGCAATATTTGGCGAATTTTAAATTTGTTATTTTTTTACCGTCAGGTTTTAATGTTTGTTATTTCCACGAGTGGTGCTTGTTAAGAGTACTTGGATTAACAATACCAATTAATTAAAAAGGGAAAATAAAATACTTTCATATAAAAAATAAAATTTGAAATGTGATTTTTATGATTTTTTTTCATTTCGGAAACAATTAATAGACATACTGTATATAAGTGTGAGTAAAAAATTTATTGATTTAAGTTGAGTAAAATAGACAGTAAAATTTAAAACAAAAGAAGAGAAATGAAAGAAAACAAGAGAAAAGAAAAGAAATGAAAACCAAAGAAAGAATAAAATAAGTAATTAAAAGAAAAGACAAAATCATCACTTCGGAAACACGAAGTAATAGGAAAAGAGAAAAAATATAATACTAATAATAATAGTAAATGTAATAATAAAAACAATAACCACAATAAAATGAAATATATTAAATATTACCATTAAAAGCTGAACTCAAATAATTGTGCATAGCATATTGAAAACCATTTAAGACTTATGACGTTTTTATAAAACACCAAGGTGCGATTTAAAGTTTAAAAAATACACACACACACACACACATACAGCTAAAAGAAATGTGAATAGAAATAGCAAATTATAAATTTTGTCAATGCAAAGCGCTTACACATTTTGAATTTTACAGATTCAAACATTTTAAACTAAAACAAAATATCAAATTTACTTTATTGGTTTTGTATCGGTTACTAACACCAATATTTAGTTTCTGGCATTAAAAATCAGGTTTCTTTAATATTTTGGTTTAAAACAACGTATATTTTTGTTGGAATTCAATAGCAATCGATTTAAGAAAGTTTTTAAATTTGGGATTTGCTGACGATTATTATTAAAGAAAATCTTTTGTTTTTTGACATCGAATCACAAACATACGTACACAATTACAAATGGTAGTAAAGACAGATAATCAACGCGCACATCGTAATGACTTTACCTCTTTTTTCGACTTCAATTCCTCCGAATTGAAACTGTTGAGCAACAACGCCAAGAACAAGTTTAGCACCATAAAATTACCCATAACCAAAGTTGGCAAAAATATTGCAAAGCATGAGGAGGCACCTTGCTGCAAATGACAAATGGAATTAGTAATTTAAGTTCAAATTTGAGGGGGAAACGTAATAACCTCTTCCTCCGCACGCATACAATCCCATAGCGGCTCAATCCACTCCCCACACAATATACGAAAAATCATCATAAACGAATGAAAAAAATCATTAAAATTCCACCTGAAAACGAAATATATTTTATTATAATTTAAATAATCACCAGTTTTTGATTTATTGTATTTTTATTTCAATATCAATAAGAACAAACAATTTTTATGTGCCGTTACTCACCTTGGCACCGGGTCCGGATCGAATTTTTCTGGTGTGTAATCCTTCGAAAACAATTGCATGCCAATCACAGCAAAAATATAAATCACTATAACCAAAATTAGGGTAAGGTTACCCAAAGCACCTATTGTCGATATAATTATGCTGAGTAGGACCTTCATTGTTGTCCAGGACTGTGCTAATTTTAACACACGGAGCTATAAAGCAGATAAATTTAATTAAAAATCGACAATCAACTTTTTGAGAAACATAAACTCATACTTACCAAACGTAGGCCCCGTAATACACTAAGACCATCCACCAACTCAAAAATGATATCTAATAAACTTGCAGTCACTATTATCAAATCGAATATATTCCATCCACAAAGAAAAAAATCCTTGGATAAAGCCATTAATTTAATGATGCATTCAAATGTAAATATCGACGTGAAAACCTGCCGAGCGGAGGGGAAAATATTACAAATAACAACCATGCTGTTACAAACTATGCTACTGCAGTTTCATTTCATACTTTATTTCCTACGTCTAAAGCATTCCGAAAGTTCTCACTCATGCCATGATGTTCCATAGCGAGAAACGCCGTGTTTAGTACTATGCAAAGTGTTATGGCTAATTCGAAAAGTGGATCGCGCACCACCTGTAGAACCAAAAAAATATCGTCGGATACATTCTATAAAAGAAAACAAAAATTACCTTGTATAGACAGTTTTGAAACTGTAGCCAACCTTCATAATTGGCACAACACTGTACGCATTTATCACAATTACGATCGGGAAGATCATCTGCAAAGTTAGTTCGTGTCAATATACATATGTACATATATAAACATGGAACTTTCTAACCGTTGAAGTGATTTTCGATTGAGCTCCTCCTCGCATTTGTGGTATGCGTTTTGATGTTTTTCCAGCAAAGATTATTTAAGCCACTTCCGAGCTTTTATTTCATGGCAAAAATACACTCATTTAAATAAAAAAGAGGTGTATTTAATTTCCTCCAATTCCTAATGATAGTATGGCCAGGGTTCAAGCCTACGATATTCCAAGTTGCAGAACGAACTGCTAACCATTCGACATATAAATTATGTCATAAACTACGCCTTGAACTATGCAGCAAAATCTTTATTTTCAAATTCAATTTGAAGGTGTTGGAGATTTTACCATCAATTCTGTTATGGGATATGGGGTATAGTAACTAAAGCGAATGTAATGTATTCAAAAAATACGGAGCTTAAGGAATGAAATCAATACAAAATAAATTAAGTTTAATTAACACCTTATAACTAAATTAAAACATAATATCCCATTAGCGGGTTCATTTGTTGCGAGGGCAAACACGTTAGCCGGAGGGTTAGGTTCATTACGACACTTTTGGATTCCATACAGCTTTAACGGATTTATGCGACACCAAAGTATTTTTGGTACTCTTACAATTTTATATAATTATCGGTCTTTCGAGAGCCCCAATATGTTTGCTTCGCATTTTCAGTTGAAAATCTATATCCGAAACGTTGCGAACAGTATACCAACACCAAAGTAAACTTAACTCCCCTTAACTTCCCTGTAAATTGGATGCGTTCATTTTTAGTTGATAAATTCGTCCGTTCATTAAATCTAATATAAATAGAAATATACGAGTTGAAGTCAATGTATCTATTGGAGTGAGCCGCACAGAAATCTCCCAAATATATTTCTAACAGAAAAATAATAGCTTCTTATAAGAGCTCCTCCGCTCCGCTCTGGCCACTTAAAACTATAGATCCCGAATTTGTGGGGAAAACATCAAAGCACACACCACAAATTAGCGTAGGAGTTAGGCTGAAAATCGCTTTAGCGCATTTAAGGTGTAGGTTGTATATAAAAAATATATATCTAGTTTTATTACTCACCGATCACTACAATTTCGGAGGAAAACTCCTGGTGAAGCGCATAAATGTTATGCTTCTTAATGCGTGCAATGTTACCATTGCATTTGATGAGACGCACCTCTCGCGGCGACAAAGCCAACGTTACCGAGGTTAACTCATTTGGCAGCTCTACTGTGGACACATTCACCATTTCGGCGGCGGCATCCTGTTCTTCATGATCGTCCACTACACCGGAATCGTCTTGAGATGATTCACGATAAACGCCACTCGAATTGGAACTTGCCTGGCGACTCCCGGGCACCAGTTGACCCTTATAATCGGATGGATATAACATATTAGGATTTTTATTACCATCTTCTTGGAACCCAATACGTGTACGAAGAGTTTGAGCATCTTTCGGTATTAGTGCTTCTGTTGGAATATCTTGAAATTTGTCTAGCTCCTGCATTTCTTGCTGTTGTTTTGGTTGTTGTTGTGTATTAGATGGTGGTAGCAGTTGCTGCTGTTGGCTACCGCTGAGTTGCAGTTGCAATTCCTTAGGACGTTCGGCATTGCTATGACGTGGACTTGGACCGGGGCTTGGTGTAACGGATCTACTTTTATTCTGTTGAAAAGTAAAGTCATGAAATTAAATTATATACAAAAAATGCTACATCTCAAATATACTTGGCCATTTCCGTTGCTGTCGTTTGCATTGTTGATACTATCTTTGGCACCTTTTAGTTTTTTTCGACGAGTCTTCTTCTTGCTATATGAAGCGAGTAACACTCCCTTACGCGAATCAATCTTCTTTTTATTGTTCTTATTTAATTTTTTAACATTTAAAACGGACGGGTCGAAGCTAAATGTTGAATCATCTCGATGATCCAATAAGTCTTTCTTGCGTTCCTTGATGATAGCGAAGAAAATGTAATAAATACTATTAGGTACTTGAAAAAATTATTATTATTTTTGTTTGAAATTTACTTCGTTTGTGATTTCGGCTTCTTCCTCGTAACTTAGTGCGACTACGGCTAACATTAGATTAATTAAATAAAATGAGCCAAAAAACACAACCACAGTAAAAAATGAAACACTCATTGGACCGGATGTGGCCAAGACCTGAAATTTCAATCAACATTTTAATCCTAATTCTGCATAGACATATCCGTACTGTCAGTATATTTATATTAGTTAGCTTAATTCTTACCATATTGTACACATTCTCCCAATAATCCAGTGTAATCAACTGAAACGTTGTTAACATGGACCACATGAAATTATCGAAATTCGTGTAACCATGATTTGGATTTTCGCCTACACAGAGACAAGTGTAGCCCGAGGGACAGTGGCGAGCACCAGTCAAATTGCCACAAAGCATTGGCAGTTCCTCGTCGTCGTAAAGCCAGTTGTCTGTTTCATTAATCCAACTTTTGGAATTAGTTAAAATTAAAAAAAAAAAATGTAAAAAATAAGAACCACCAACACTTATTGCATTTATTTATTGCCTACCTCCGCCACTCTAGATCAGTAGTATTAATCCAATCATCCGGAAGATTTCTAACACATTTATTTCTCAGTTCTCCCATATACACCTGTTATTAAAATCGTACTTATAACTATTACTCTAAAACTTACCCTTGTACATACCTGTAGTGCAAATAGTGCAAAGACCATTAAGCAGAAAATAGTCAACGTCATTACTTCGGCTAATTGTCGAAATGAGTGGAGTAATGCATTAATGATAGTCTTTAGTCCTGGCATTATTGAAACAGTCTTTAGAGCGCGCAATACGCGAAACGTACGTAATCCAGCCAGATTACCAACCTCCATGCCTATAGTGGCATAACCACTTGTTATCACCACAAAATCTAGCCAATTCCATGGATTCCGCAGATACGTGTATTTATTTAGTAAGAAGCCTTTGGCAACAATTTTTATCACCATTTCAATGGAGTAAATGGCTAGGAAGATGTACCTTAAAACAGGAAGCGGAAGTTAATAAATATGATAAGAATAATGTGAATTTATATTTTTTGTAATTACTCAGCTTCTTCCACAGTCTCGGTCATGGCTAAAAAAATGCAATTGAACAAAATAGTGGCCATGACACAGTAGTCGAAGAATTGATTCGTTGCTATGTAGACGCAAACACGACGTCCCGTACTCCATGGATGGAAAAGGAAGAGACTTTTAGTGCCGGTGAAGCGGTGTATATAATTCTTACGAAATCGCTTGGACACCACACAAAATGTCTGGAAATAAAAACCGCTTATCTCGTAAATTTGAGGGGCTACACCATAATAATATAATCAGAGAAATTCTATATTTAATTTGTTTAAGGTAAAGCTGAACTGAATTGTTATGTTCAAAAAAAAAATACCCTGGCGACCTTTCGTAGCACTAACTTCCGTTAGCGTTTCTGTGTTATTGCGACATCTAGTGTACATATAGAAATACAACCCTACGCGATTCAGCGCATGCGATTCGTGGGCCAGTGTTGGCAGCGCTGCTCGCCTCAAGTTGTCTTGCACAAGCGCTTCCGTTCATCTTTCTTTCGTTCTTTAACCGTCTTCGTGTGAGGAAAGAAAAATGAGAGCTAAGGTAAATTGCTGCGGAAATTGAGATTTGTTTTAAATACATATATGTGTAAAAAATATTCAAAGCAATTCATCCGCAATTTTGAGTTGTTTTTTACGTGTTTTATGATAGATATTATTTGATGAAATAATTTAAATAATTGGCGTGTGAAGTTTTGTATTACTTTTAATGAAATTTATCGGTCTCCATCATTGCGTATAATACCTACACACGTGGTTGATTGAATTATGTTAATATTTTGGAGAAAATTATTTGTAATTCCCGATGTTCTAAACTTTTTTGTGATTTCTTTTTTCATTATATAGTGGCGTAAGAAGCGTATGCGTAGGTTGAAGCGTAAACGCAGGAAGATGCGTGCAAGGTCCAAGTAAACCATTGACGGCAATGAAGAACGTGAGTATTCGTGTTTGCTGAAACAGCACTAACGCTCCATTTAATATTAATTAACAATTTTTTTTTATTGCAGGTGTTTTATGAACTTCAACCTAATATTCCAATTAGCTTCTAGTATGGATTTTGCAACCAAGAGGTTGGAGGCATTTCTAAAAGTTTACCTTTCGTAAAGTGTAAATTGTTTGAAATAAAGAGAATTCTTTAAATTTCACTAGAAGTGATACAAATATAAAATTATGTGTTGTTCTTTGGAATCATAGTTGATTGTAAGACTAATCGGGTTAAACAAAAGCTTGTGATGTATCCAATGTGTATCCGCCACGATATTGACTAACACTTGATCAAATAGGCCACGTTTTAAGCATACATTCCAACCTCAAAACATATGGGTTTCGGAATTAATTGTTTTTATGAGTGAACATCTTGGTGAAATAAAAAATTTAATTTCATGCAGAAATACTGGGATAGATCTGACTTATCTAGGACTTCATTTTATATATAATATGTATGTGAAATATCTGTGGATAGACCTTCATAGGTTATTTGTGAAATAGACTACCGCAATAAATATATTAATATTGAGACATTTTAAATTTAGAGAATAACTTCATGTCTCAAACTACATAAATTCAGAATAAATCTGAATAGAATTGGCCATTATATTATTGTGTGCGTCTAACTCTTAACATGAGAGTCATCCTATACTTTGCTTAACGATAAGTGACAATAAAGCAAAAAATATATAATCGGTACTTTAATGATTTATAGGCAGACAAGTATATCAGGATATTTGGATTTTCTTGCAGGTGCTCTCAAAGATGTGCAGTTGTAGCAGCAAAACTATTCCCCAAAGTAGATTTTGGAGAATTCTATAGGGGTGGCAGTCTTCGACCGGAAAAATTTGGGTTGTGCCGGTATAAAAACCCGACACTCGTGGGAACTAAGTTTTATTCGCCTCTTACCACGGCATGCCTCAACGCGGGTATATTCTGAACTTCTAACCCGCAGGGGTATTAAGATGTCGTATAACGTAGCACTTAGTTAATTTAAAAAATCATGACAAATTTCGAATTTAATTTTCAAGTGCAGTCTTACATAGCATAAAAAATTTCTTAAAATTGAGTTCCAATTTCTGGAAATTACCTTAATTCTCAATTTTTTTGTTGAAAATCTTACATAATAATCGAATCTTTCAAGAGAAATAAAAATTACTGGAGCAGCAAGAGCAATTTCTATTTTTGCAATCATATGAGAAATTAAGTTGCAGAAATTAGTTTCAGAGTGGTTACGAATTAAAACAAGATTTATAAATACATTCTTCCGTTGACCTGAGAATAGACTAATTTAATTAACAAAATGAAATATTTGGAGCGCACAGAAAATTTTTCCAAAACTCAAATTTCTATTAATACATCTGGCAAGGCCATTGGTGCCTGCAACATCTGGGCACGAATTTCGAACACTGTTTTCATTGTTTACATTCGTTTCGCCGCGTCGTTTACTATCGTCTATAAAATCGCTCAAAGCGTGTTGACCACAGATTTGTATACATTTTCCAATAATTGTGTAACCCTAAAAGTTTGTCAATTATGCAATTTTGAAACAATTGTGTGTTTACTAGTAAAACAAATATTATATTTGGTGAGTGATGTTTAACATACTCATATGTATATATGATTATGCTCAACTTCCCGGCGTGATTCTTATTACAGTGTTTGCATTTTATTATTTTATTGGGAAGGGAAGCCGAGTCATGTTGCCTTGAACGATTCATTTACCATTAAAAATGTGAATTCGCAAAATATCTTGTGTGAAAATGTCATCGTATCTCTTAACTTTACTGATGCGACTTAGAAAGTTTTCGTGTAATACATTTTTTTTAATTACCATACATATGTACATATTCGTCTTCCTTTCACCAAATAACTTGTTTACCTGATTAAAAGACCGGCAGCAGTTGCCTTTATTGTAGCTTGTTTCGGATTTTTTATTTTTGATTTTGTTTGTTATAGAAGTGGTCTATTGCGTATTTTGTTGTACTTTATTGTGTACTCTTGCAGCTCATACAATACACTTTATACTGGTTTGATTTGAAGATTAGGTGTATCGATTCTTTAGTAATTATCTTCAGCAGATTTTGAAGAACATATGAATATATGTATTTCCTAACGAACTGACAATAGCCATTTCTATCAGAGTATGTATATATGTACGTACATACATACATATGTGGTAATGCATTTGTATGAGAATACGTGCTGGATAGTTAGAACTAAATAAACCAAGAATATGTCTACGTGACAATACTACAATACCATATTAAAAGCTCTTAGTTGATTTGGATAAGTTTTATAATAATAAAAGTTGATTGTAAAAGAAAGTTTTATTATTTATATATCAAATAAGTTGTATTTATGTTTTCCTTCGTATACCAAGGTACTACGTATATTTATGTACTTATCCGAGAGCTGCACAGGTATGTTCGAGCTTACTCGATCACGTTAGCAAAAATTTGTTATAACACAAATTTTGAACCGATGCAAATCAGGAAATTAAAAAAAAAGTCACTGAAAATAGTTCCACATAAAACGTTGAAACTCAGGCCGACCAGACAAAGTGTAACAGGGAATTTATTTTTAATAACGAGAACGTGTAAATTCGTTATGACATCTCACCTCCTTCAAACATTTACTGAAAAGTCTCGGGATCTCTGTTAACTTTGCATTCACCACATGTTCAAAGGGATTCATTACACTTGAAATTACAGCAAAGTTAACAGCGATCGCAAGTGTTTTTCTGCAAGTATTTCTTTGCTTTGACAATTTCAATATTTTAACTAATATTTTTAATAATTGAAATAGTGTTAAAAAATTTGTATTAAGTATTAAATAAAAATATTTTTAACAACAATTTAAAAATAGATATTAATTATAAGTTCTCTGGTGTAGATCCTTTATCAATATTTTTCAACTACAGATTTTCTTCTGACATTTCACATATGCATGTTCATAAGTATACGAAAAAGTGTAAGTGTAAATTGAGGCTAGGCAAGGCTGATAGTTAAGATCTGGATATTGTAGACGACTGAAGTCGTATATAACCCGTTAGATGTGTCGGCTTAAGGAGACATGTGAAGAGGTGGTTAGTGTCGTACGGAGACTCTCCACAAGCAGGCATGTGTGGGCATGTTGGGGTCTAGCCTGGAAAGGTAGGAGTTTAACCTGATGCAGTATCCAGACCTAAGTTGTGCCAGCTTCACGTGAATCGATCGCACACCACGATCTTTTACATTCTTGCCTGTGAAATGACGTTAGAGGAATGGAGCTGTCCGAACAGATAGAGGATTCGACATTCAGCGCCATGAATGACGTCGCTCCCACCAGAATTGTGGAAAATTCTCACAATCGCTAGCGCTGGTCTGGTAAACAGCAATTAGTGGCAACCTATCCTGACTCTCCAATCAGACTAGATCGAAACCTCCACGACTTTGTTTCCGGGGATCACGGTTCAGGAGTTTATTGGGAATACAAAAGCCTTCAAAACCATTGAGGAGAGTGAATAAACATGCTGATGTTGAAACATCTATATCCAGCGGCGGTAGGGAAACAATGTGGCTTTTAAAATGTGCATAGTACAACTTCAGCAGAACGCCATAAACACACAAATTGAGAAATTATCTTTGCCGCCGGGATTGAAGAGATGAACCTCAATACTCGAGAGTCATAGGTAGACTTTCGAGGTCAAACTTTTCTTACAGAAAATGGTGCCCATGACACACTTGCACAGTGAAACCTCTATGCTCCCATTTGAGGAGCTTAATGCTGCTCTGAAATGCTGCCATTAGGATCATTCCAACAGACTTACTGGGAACTGAACCACCACCTAAGAACTAAGAAGGTCTGTCAACACTTTCGTAAACTCTCTTCCCGCGAACGGCAAACTTAGAAACCAACAACACACTTCTGCAGACCAAGAAATCGAGCAACGGGAATCTCGGGTAGTACTGGCACGGTTAAGGTTCATTAACCACCACTTTAAAATCAACTTATCTAACGCCCCTGGTCTAAACCTGTCGAAATAGTCCGTTTCCTGGACCTGCTGTTAAATGACTTAGACTGATTTTGTCTGCTCCTAGCAGGGTTTGATAGTCGCTACGACAACAAAAAGCTCAATTCCAACAAATGCATCCACTTGTGGAGGCATGGATAACAGCTGGAAGAGAAAATCAAGCTGATATAACTGCCTGGAAAATTTGATGTATGCAACAAGGACGCAAGATGATATATGCTTGTGATTTGCTTTCTTTTTGGTGTGGGGTTTGTGGTGGGAGGGACAAAGACATAAAAAAATTGTCTAACCTACTTAGTTGTCATCGGATCGAAACCAGACCGACTCTGTTGATTTAGTCACTGGACATGGTCCACGCAGACCACTTGCCCTGTCGTAGCCAAGGGAGCTGCCAGCCTTTGTGCAGGAATGTCGTGCTTCGGAAGAGTCATTAATTTTAAACAAACTTATTTTAAATATAAACAAAAAGCTCTGGCTTGTTTTGAAACATACAAGATATTAACATCGGCCCAAATGACCTGAAAGTAGGAATGATATAGAGAAATAAACTTGGATAAGATGTGAATTTAAGCCACGTCGCTTCAAAATTAGGCGCATATCCGTGCTAAATGCCAAAATTAAAACAATAAAGGAATCAACAAGAACAACTACAATAAAGGCCTAAGATAACAAACAAATAAAGAAAACACCCACTTACATTCATAGATACACTCCAAAATGGGTACATTGCGGAAGGGGAAGGGTGAAGCTTTTGTGAGATACTTCAGCCATGATGGTGCGGGTTATTAAATCTTCCGTGCTAAGTCGTGGAAGTAGTGTAGCACAAAATAGGCGTCAAGTGTATAATAGAAAGCGAAAATATAGCATAGTTGCCTCCATGCATCTGCATGTGTGTATGTCAAGGTGTTGCATTACAAAGTAGCGCATAGAATTAAGCAGTTGCTTTTGTACACACATTAAACACGGCCACATATTACATACTCGTATTTATGTTTTCACTTAAGAACATACTCAAGTACAGTGGAGTGGGAATGGGTTGATTTCATCGGCATACTTTTATCTAAAGTGCGAAAATTGAGTACAGCAGCAATATAATAACGGGCACGGGAGGTGTGCTTTGTTTGTTAGACAACAATGGCGGTGGTTATAGTCCAAAATATGATCAAGAAAAATACTGTAAGCAAATATGACAGCCCACACCATACTGTGCGTTAATTTTTCCAGTACTTTCTACTCATCGTAAGTAACGTGTCATCCTCTTCATAACTCATCTCAGAATATTTTTAAACGAAAGCTTTACTGCTTTTCAATACGGAAGGATTGTGCGCGCTTGGGTAGCTGTTTTCAAGGGTTTGCGGGATTTATGAAATGTTGCGGGTAGGAGTGAACTTGGGAGAAAAAATGTCATTTTTAAATTTCCTCAGAAAAGTTCCGCTGGTGTCAAAATATTAAAAAGAAAAAAAATGAAGATGCATACATATATAATAAATGCATATATTGTTGTAATGGTCGAGACCCTCTTCCAATTTAGATACGTACAGTTCATTATAAGCCTTCTACCAAAGCCTGATCGTTTTTTTCTGAGGAGCTTTTGTAACTATGACGACCGCGGTTATATGACCGCAAAAGAATTTAACTGAAGATATTTCTATAAAAGGTCTTAAAGTGCAAAATTCCTTCGTTAGCTGGAACTGTGCAAATCGGATGAAAAAAATCTCTAAGGTAAAAGTAAAAAAAAATGATTGAAATAATTTAATATAACCCTGATAACGCGCATATCAATCCATACGTAGTTGTATACGTGTAGCTACAAAAAACGCCTTTCAGGATGGGCGGATATTAAAGTGTTTATGACGCCACAAATTCCGTCGTCTAACTGCCTGCGAACCTTTTATAACCTACAATGGCGCTGTCTCTCATTTTGCCGCTGCCTCTTTACATTCCCACCATTTTTTCTTCATTCGCTTTTGCTCAAAGTCTCTGGCATTTAGCCTATTTTCCATTTAACTTTTTCAACTTTCGCTTTTTTTTTTGGCCTTCAACGCTTCGCAATTTTTTCACTGCATTTCAGCTCTGCTCTTGCCTTTGGCAGTTTGTTAGCGCTTTCCTCTTTTGTTTATACTTGTTGTTGTTGTTCTTATTGTAAATTTGCGTTAAGTTACCTTAATGCCATAAATGCCTAGCAAAGAGGTTCATTTCCGTTTCACAGCTGCCATTTCACCGATTGTGTTTGTCTATGCGTCCTTCGCAAATTTCCCAACGCCGCCCACTACATTTTTATAAACGTAGTATGTATGTGTATTTACAATCGACTTTGTTGCCGATGCTTAGATTTGCTCCTGCATCTTTCGCTTTGGCAGTCAAAGGCACAAAACGCATTTTCTTTCTGCGGCATTTTACCTGATTTAATTTTAATGGCGGCGTGATAAAATGTAATTTGCATACCTGGAGACTGTTAACATCGCTGTTGGAAGAATCCTCTTCCACACGGACAAAATGGAACCGTTATCATATTTGCAAGGATCTCACTTTACTTATATTTGGATTGAAATTTGGAAGGTTTTAAGAATGAC